GCGAGCGGAAACGTCCACGCTATCTTCTAAGTCAGGGCTTGCGGCGCCCTCAAATAGTTTACGACCGACCAAGTCGGTCATGATCAGAACGCGAGATGAGACCGTTGCGCCATCTCGACGATTTTTCCTGCTCAGAAATTAGAATTAGCATGGCAAATTTGAGAAGCATTGATAAAAGCATGACTCACCCCTCGCGCCTAGACTGAGCAATCAGCTCGGTAAAGTCCCAAAGGCGTCCACGAGGCACCAGCTTGCCAGTTGACGTTTCTCGTGCTGGAGTCCATTCGGGTGCAAGCTTTAGCACGGGTGCAGCGCGTGATTCTTTGCTCTTGCGAACAAGTATGATACCTTCTTCTGCGAAGCGTTGGAATGCGTTCTTGAGGGTCTCTTTGTTGACGGCTTCGAAATAGGATAAGTCGCCTTGATGGTACAACGTTTTGCCAAGCTGGCCTCACGATTAGATTCAGAATTATTGGAAAATATGTCAGGAATAGACCTACCAGCTGAGCGCTATCTTGCGCTTTCTTCAAGTCGATCCAGATATCCTTCTGTTCACCGATTGGCGGAGTGAGTCCAAGCAGAGACACCGAGCCGAGCCATGAAGCCTCGATGAATGGCCAGATCAAGAAACAGTAGAAGTCATAATTCTCTCTTCCACATTGCCGTTCCGCATCGCTTAGCTCAATGGACGTAGGTGTGCCAGAGGAATCCCTAGAGACGGCGATAACATCATCTTTCTCAAGTCCCTGGAGGGTGTTCTCTAGATTGGTAGTCAACCCCTCCGGAGGGAAGATGAATTCACCACGGAAAAGCTGGAAGGCGTTAATGATACTTCGGAAAGATCGAGAAAGTGATACCATACCTGCGAAAGAAAAGAAACCTGGTTTAAGAGATCCGTATATGAAATTCGTTGATGAGAAGGGCCACCACCACGTTTGACCTTTGTGTACATAGCCGCCGACACCAGAGCCTCCGTAATGAATAGATGGATGGTCATGTTGCGATAGAAAGAGAGCTGAAAGCGATCGACAGCGTAGTATGTCGGCTCAGCAAGGCCGCTTACTACACCCACAAGCTTCGACCCGAGGACTTCAAGGGCACGATCAACGACCACCTCAGTCGGATATCTATAAAAGTGTGCAACCCGACCGCCCTTCATGCGAACACGCTCACAAAGCCATTCAACCCGACGCACCAGCTCCGCTTTGCCGACACCGCGCCCGCGAAGCGTTAACAGCACAGTACCAACCAAAGCTGTAGGCATCATCACAGAGACATCATTAATCTCCGAAAGAACTCTATAACCCAAAGTCCTTAGAAGTCGGCCTCTTTCTTCATGATTCAATTTACTGCCGCTACTTAGGTCAATTTGATTTGGTAATCGAGTCAATTGCTGAGTGACAAATTCTCTCAGACTCCAAGGTTGGTGAAACCTAACATCAACTCGACCTAGCTTCAGGGATAAGACAGACGAAGACGAAAGAAAATCCGCCAGGTTCTCCTTGCGCTTTGGCTGACCAAGAAGTTCGCTGATATAGGATCTAGAGGCAATGTCAGTAAGTGCGTAAGTTTGTAGAGGGTTTTCTTCGTACTCAGTCTCGATAACTTTATCGTATTGCGTGCTAACGGGGCAGATGATTGTGTCCTCCACACGGCCTGATAGCACGCTGTCTAGTATAAAGCTCAGGATACCGAATTTTGGAGACAACAACTTTCCAGTTCTAGACCGTCCGCCCTCAATGAAACATTCGAAATTGAACCCTTGCTGCAACAGTGTATCAATATAAGCCTGGACGGCTGTATGATACAACGGGTCGTTTCCAAAGCTCCTCCTGATCCACATGGCACCTGCAGTCGTTAGCATGGATACGAGAGAGGATATAATACTTCATCATACCAGCATGCTGCAAGAAAGGCCCCAGTAACGGGATGTTCAGATTGTCACCTGCCACTACGACGGGTAAACCAATCCCTAAGCGGTAGCAGATAAGTTGGAGAGAAACATAGTCGACATGAGACTTATGACACGGCAAAAAGACAATAGACTGTTTCTTTTTGGCCGCTTCTCTTGCAACGGATCTTAAGCGCAGAACCTCTTCACTCGATACGTGAATTCCTGCGATCATTAGCGATAATCTTTCACCAATTCTCAAACGCAAACCTACCTTGATGATAAGCACGCGTGAGAAGCTGAGTGGAGAGATAATATGCGCCCCGGATAAACCGCTTGTTCTCCATCTTGCAAATCATATTGTCCAGTATAGAGTCAACCACCTCCTTGAGGTTACTCTCGATCTCATTCCGCCGATGGGCCTTCTTCTTCGGAAAAGGGCCCGGCTTCACATCTAAGAGGCCCTCCTTCTCTTCTACGGACAGTCGGGCCTCGGCTAGTTCCTTGACCTTGCCGCGCAAGAGAGGACTTGCAAGGATGTTCGTCTTCATCCTGTCCGTGAATCCGGAGTAGAATATAGGCTGCCCGATCACATCATCATAAGCGCGCCAGCCAGTGCCTGACATATAGAGGCTCACTTCCCGTAAAAAGTCGAACGGGTTCTCCCGAAAGCGTGCCATATGATGGACAAGATTCCGCTCGGTAATTCCGTCATCTTGAGGTTCTGGCCCTCCGGTGAAACCACTGGGATGGATGGTGACTTTATCTCCAACAATTTCCAAATCTGGGGGCGATTGATCAACTGGGCCTTTCTCGGATGGCATCTTGGCTAGGGGCGAGGAGCGGAGAAGTAGCTATTGTAGGGGACGAGCGGGGACGGAGCTAATCAGGGAGAATGACAGGATGTCCGGCTGCCATTGACTTCAAAAGCACAGGAGACACAGCGGTCATAACATAAATGGTGCCCCGGAGCAAAGGGAGGAAGGTTTCATAGTCACGATAGCGGTAGAATGTTGTTGTGATTCAGTTCCCAACAAATAGCGCCTGATCATCCCCCGGTATTTCCCCAGAATCAGTACCTCGGATAGTGTCACGTGAGATAGCACGGTTCTGTGGTGTAAGGGACAGTAACAGTAATAAATTACATGCAACCATGGCTCCAGAACTGTACGTAAGAGAAAAAAAGCAGGTGATGGGGCAGTCTAACCGAAACGGGCGCCGAGCGTTAGGCCCGAAGTGGGCAAATTAAAGCTAAGATCCTCTTCCCGAGTCCCGCGAAGGATGATTTCCACGCAGAAGCCGAGAGCACGACGATCTACCACCACCTCCTGCAATCAGAGAGCATGTGCGCTCGTTTCAATGGGCTGATGTGTCCTGGCGTGAAAGTTTTTTAGCTTATAGACTTCGGTGTAACGGCCAATGTCACTGGCGATTTAGTGTCTGAGCCCGTTGTTGCTCCACAGTGGGACAGGAAGCACACTGACTGCTACATGGAAATCTGCGAGCCTGCCACCTCATAAATAAATCTCCAAGATGTTTCGGTGGGCGCGGGCATTCTCAAGTAAGACTTCAAGAGACTTCTGAATTCAGACCGTATCCAAGCGCATATTTCTCTGACAACAATTTCTAACCCAGCTGCCTCGTCTTTTTTCAACAACGCCCCAATGGCTTCCCCATCCCTCCTCCAGTACTCATTCCAAGTCTTCCGCGATGTCCCTCCGCTCCGCCAAATGCGCCGGCAGCTAGTGCTGGATAAGAAGACGGTAGGCTTTGTTCCTACTATGGGGGCTCTTCACGAGGGCCATCTCTCGCTGATCCGGCAAGCCGCGGCCGAAAACACCGACGTCTTCGTTAGCATCTTCGTTAACCCGACCCAGTTCGGTGTCAACGAGGATCTTTCGAGCTATCCTCGCACCTGGGATAGCGATGTGGCTAAACTGGAACAACTAAACGATGAATTTGCCCGTCTTGGGGATGACACTGGTCGCATCACGGCCATTCTTGCCCCTACATCGAAGGTCATGTACCCTGCACTGCCGCCTTCCTCGGAAGTTGACGGGGATGGGTCTTTCGTTACAATAACGCCCATCTCAAGGAAGCTGGAGGGTGCATCCCGTCCAGTCTTCTTCCGAGGGGTTGCAACCGTTTGCATGAAGCTCTTCAACATCGTTCAAGCCGACCGTGCGTACTTCGGACAGAAAGACGTCCAGCAAACCGTGGTCATCAAGCGCATGGTCCAGGACTTCCACGTTGATACTGAAATCAAGATTGGCGACACGGTTCGCGAGCATGATGGGTTGGCGATGAGCTCGAGGAATGTGTACTTGGGAAATAGGAGACGTGCTGTTGGTCTCGTTCTCTACAATGCCCTGAAAGCGGCTGAAAACGCATACAACTCCGGCAAGCTGGCGCGAAGTGACATTCTCGATGCCGCTAACAGCGTGACATCTCAAGTCTTGTCCGAACAGCAAGCTTTGTCACCTTCTGAAAGGGCCCTTTATGAAGTCGACTACATATCCCTGGCCGATCCAGACTCACTAGATGAGGTGGAGTCAGTTGACCCCGCCAAGGGAGCCATCATAAGCGGTGCTGTCAAGATGACTCCTCTTGAAGAAACCAAGCCCGGCGAGGACTGTGGCTTAGGTGACGGTCAGGTTCCTGTGAGACTCATCGACAATCTGATCTTTAACCCTCGATCTTGAATCTTCTGCTCATTTGGAAGAATCAGACATATATGGAATAGATAGATCATATTCAAAAGAGCGTTTATATAACCAGTTGTACCTAGAACAACGGCCAATGTACATATATCTGACACGTATGCTATGGTGGATTACTATTGCATCGACCCACTTGTATAATGTAAAATACTGAGCGTAGTCTATGCTATGAGTTACAAATCTAAAACCTCACACCCATTTTCACAGCATCTCAAAGCAACCAACGACCTTCCGTAGCTGACCTCCCCTTTCACCTAAAAAGGAAAATAGGGCACATAGAGAGGGCTCGGAAGTAAACCGGGCCGAGAAAATTTCCCTCCGCGGCGGGACCCATCGAAAAAAAGCAGCAGGCCTAGCCTCACCCAGCAACCAAAAAAAACCTCATAAACATCCAAACAAAACCAGAAGTTCGTCATTAGTTCCAAGATGGCGGACGACGGTTTACTCCTCAACTTCGCCATTGGCGACACGAACATAATCAAACCCGAAACCAGGCTCAAGGGTGGAACCTGGCGCGACCGCCTAAGCGCAAAGAAAATCGCCCAACACCGCACCAGGAACCCCCGGAAACCCGGCGAAGAGAGACCATCCTCAAATAAAGGTCCCCAGAACCCGAATCGCATTCAGGTATCCTCGTCTCGACCCTCGAAGAGACAGAAAACGGATACCGATGGAGACCATGAGAAACCTCAACGCGATAATAAGCAACACCCGCGACAGTTCGTCTCGTCGCTTTTTTCGAAGAACCCTACGCCCCAGAATGTGGAGGAGGTGCCTGAGCAAGAGCCAACTGAGGATGCGAAACCGACGAATGCGCCACTGATTGATGGACTGGATACGTTTACGAATCTGGGGCTGTCCCCGAGTTTGGCGGCGCATTTGTTGACGAAGTTGGAGCTGAAGGCGCCGACGGGGATTCAGAAGGCGTCCATGTCACAGTTGTTGAAGGAGGATAGTGATGCGTTCATTCAGGCGGAGACAGGTTCTGGAAAGACGTTAGCTTATTTGCTTCCGCTTGTGCAGAGGATTATGACGATTTCGAATCCCAAAAATATGAGCACGGATTCGAGGGGTGAGCCGATTGTTCATCGTGATAGTGGGTTGTTTGCTATCGTTCTGGCGCCGACGCGTGAGTTGTGTAAGCAGATTTCGGTTGTTCTGGAGAGTTTGCTGCGATGCGCTCATTGGATCGTGGCCGGTACGGTTATTGGTGGTGAAAAGAAGAAGTCGGAGAAGGCGAGATTGAGGAAGGGACTGAATATTCTGGTGGCTACACCAGGTCGACTTGCTGACCATCTTGAAAATACACAAGCGCTGGACGTGAGTAATGTGAGATGGTTGGTGCTAGATGAGGGTGATCGATTGATGGAGCTCGGTTTCGAGAAAGAACTGCAGGGAATCATTCAGAAGCTTGATGCCAGGCAACGACCTAGTCGGATTCCCGGTATTCCTACGAAGCGAACTACGATCCTTTGTTCCGCTACGCTGAAGATGAATGTACAGAAGCTGGGAGAGATCAGTTTGAAAGACGCCGTTCATATCAAGGCAGACCCCGCCGACGAGGATGGAGAAAGCAAGAGAAAGGACGATGACGGTTTCAGGGTGCCAGCTCAGCTTAAACAATCTTATGCTCTTGTTGCAGCTAAGCTCAGACTGGTTACTCTCACTGCCTACTTGAAACGAACATTTATGCGGAAAGGCTCGGTCATGAAGGCTATCGTATTCGTCTCTTGTGCGGACTCGGTCGACTTCCATTTCGAGGTGTTCTCAAGAAAGAAACAATACAGAGACGAGAGCGAGGAGGAAAAAGAAGATAATGAAGACGATGACGAAGATAATGTGAAAACGAAGTCCGAAGCGTCGCCCCACGGCACTATCGCTCCTGCCGTTGCCTTCTCTAACCCTTCGAACCCGGTGAAATTGCACAAACTCCACGGGTCTCTCCCACAACACGTCCGAACAGCCACCCTTAACGCCTTCTCTCGCGAACGCGAGCCATCCGTGCTAGTCTGCACCGACGTTGCATCACGAGGATTGGACTTGCCAAATGTCGACCTGGTCATCGAATACGACCCAGCTTTCAGCGCGGACGACCACACCCACCGAATCGGACGTACTGCCCGTCTTGGACGGGACGGTCGAGCACTGATCTTCCTGATGCCCGGCTGTGAAGAGAACTACGTGGAGGTTCTGAAGCGGGGATACCGAGATGGCGGAAAGGCACTCACGCGCACAACCGCGGAAGACATATTGAAGCGCGGGTTTGGCGGGAACATAACGTCCGAGACGAAGAACTGGGAAGAGAAAGCGACTGACTGGCAAATGGACCTTGAACGATGGGCAGTGGATAACCCGGAGTATCTCGAGATGGCGCGACGAGCCTATCAATCACACATCCGCGCCTACGCCACCCACATCGCCAGCGAGCGAAGCATGTTCAACATCAAGGAACTCCACCTCGGACATCTTGCCAAGAGCTTCGCACTGCGCGACCGCCCGAGCAAGATCAACGTCCCCGGCCTGCGCCCCGGAGACAAGGAAGCAAAGAAGGATTACAAGGCCGAGAGGAAGACCGTTGGAAAGAAGAGAAAGGCAGGCGGGCGAGACGACAACGATTTCCCATCTTCCAACGATGCAACATCCGCAGCCCAAAAGATGAGAGCCAAGCTGAAGGAGCACATGGCCGGAGCCAGCGAATTCAACCTTGCCTAGTGTATTTGTATATAGCAATTTGATGACCTCAGTAGATATCCCACAATGAGATCTTTCCATCTTTTGACCCCGCAGCCAACCAATGCGTCTTCTGCACCTTCTGATTCCGCTGACGCTGCACCGTAGCAAGCGAGAACTCCCCTGGTATTGTAACCTGAGCAGCATCTCCACCCCCATCACTCCCTGTAGCAGCAGCAACACCGCCATCAGAATCAATAGAACCCTCCACATCCGCAAAAGCAACAGTATAGCACCCCTCCTTATGCCACTTGAGAACCGCCAGCTCCCTCATAGTCTTACAAGAATACACCCGAATCCTGGAATCCCACCCGGCAGTCGCAAAAACCCTCCCATCAGACCGAATCCTCAACCCCTGCTGCCCAGAATGCTTCGTATCAGCCTTCTTTTTCACAGGTACTACCTTCCCAAACCCAGGAACAGGATGCTTCACCAACAGCGCATCAGCCGACGACGAAAGGAAATACCCCCCAGCCGGAAAAACATCAATCGACAAAGCGGGCTGCGAATGAGCCCGGGCGACATAAACCCTCTCCCATTTCCAGTTGTTGCTACTACTATTACTGGCATTTCCAGAAAAGTCCTGTGTAGTTAGTCGGCCTCGGAGCGCGAAAACCATCACGTGGCCGTCTTCGTAGGCTGACGCTACGTGTAATTCCCCAGTGGACGAGTAGAATAGGTTCACGGCCATGACCATGCCTGTTTGCGTGGTTGGGTCTGCGGGGATTGTGCAGAGACGTCTTTCGCGTGGGAGGTGGAAGATGTCTATTGCGCCTGAATTGAGGGCGTTAGGGACTGCGAAGAGGGATGTGCGCTGCTGCTGCTGTGGTGTATTGTTTTCTGGGGACTGGGACTGGGCGTCTGAGGTTTTCTTGGGTTCCTCTTCCCGTGTATCCGGGGATTCCTCCCCATTATCAAGGAAGAGGATAGAGAACGCACAGAAATTCAGTGCGTTGACAGGGAGAGAGTGAATGAGCCATGGCTGTGTCCTTTGAGACTGGTGCTGCTCGCGCATGTCCACGGGGAGGGTCTTTTGGAGGAGATCCTCGTCTTGGATGCGGAAGCGCCATACGCATAATTTGTGATCTCGTCCATGGCTGGTTCAATTGTTAGATTATTGTCTGTAGGTTTTGGGGAAGGAGGGAAAGTAACGCACGTGTATACTTCTGTCACGGTTTCGTTGCTGAAAGTGAAGCCTTTGACTTCGAGGATGGCGCCTTCGTGCGCTTTCCATACGGCGACTGGTCGCTTGAAGACTAGATCCCATACTATTATCCAGCCGTCGGCGTCGCCGGAGATGAGCCGCAGGTTCTGGTGGAAAATGTGCAGGCCGTGGATTGGGGAGGCATGGCCCCGGAGAATGTAAGTTGGACTTGCTGGTGGTTGTAGCTGAGTGGAGGTGCTCATTTGTGGTTACTTAGATTTTGAGATAAATTTATGTATCAAATTTTATGGATAGATCATGGGTGTATCTGTGTATTTCCTGTATTTGTTATAAGTTCTCCTATATTCAGTTTGGTGGAAATAGTTTGAAGATGAAAGGAAAGGAAGGATATGTGGATATGGTTTGGCAAAGAAAGTCTTGGCACTGCCGATACGGAGTAAATATCTTCAAAATCGGCCTTGAGGGAGAATGATGCAAGTACGAAATATTAACCATAGAGTCTGTATAAATAGACATTGCTTCAAACTCTTGCATTTTAATATAACCAAGCGGCCTAAAAGTGTTCTATATAACCTATACCACTAATGTCACATTATGTGGACAAGACATCTAACCCCAATAGCGAAACAGAAAAAGCAACATAATGAAAGGTATCATAGGAGAAAAACGCCTGCCAAGGGTATCGCACAAATGATGAATCAAGTCCCACAAAACGCCGTCATACCGTTACAAATAAGATCTATAAGCTCCCACATTGGTAATCACTGATTTGATGCGGCGCAACGTAATGATCCTGATACGGGTGATTATCCATGGAGAAATCCGCAAACGCCATGATAGGGTTGACGACCCCAGGGGGCATTTTTAGAAGAGTCGAAGTAGGATCAATATCGAACGTATGGTGGTCATTAAGCAAAGGTAGTGCATTTGGATCTGCTGACACTGGTTGATGTTGCTGAGCTGGATTCCAGCCCCATGCTTGTTGAAGCCCCTCTTTGACTTGTTCGGATCTCCAGCCTGTCTCTTTGGCGATATCGTCAAAGATCCCAAAGACCTCCTCCTGAGCCTCCCTTGTAGCGAGACATTCTGCAGCTACGGCCAAAAAACGTATAGACAGGGTAGCAACCCCCCTGATTGCAATCGTTAGATTCAACAGCGGTGTATATGAGAGGAATACTTCTTACCCGTCTTTCACATTCGCGACAATCCCGCATATGTCATGTGCATGGCTTTGCTGCACGCTTTGCATCTCAGGACTGAACTCGTTTTCTAATGGATGCGTTTTTGTGAGAAGGATTCGAGTCGTATGGTAGAATAGCCGAGCTATAATTGAAGCTCGTTTGATAAGCCTGCCAACGGTTAGCTAGCGAGGTCGATTGTCTAGGCTCGAAATGTACGCACCATATCTTTGGAAACATGGATTTCGAGTTGGTCTGCCATGATGGCAGGAACGCAAGGGGTACCATAGAGCGAGGCACGGCTTTCGCCCATTTGTCACACCAGTTATTGTACATAGTCCATTCCTGACATCGATGGTTGATATCCATATCATTTGTCGAACGGTCTAGGGGCTGGAGTTGAGACATGGACGACCGAAGATTTGCGACTTTGGCACAGATATAGACCATACGGTGGGTCCACAGTTCCTCATGGCCTGCAACGCTGGGTTGGGCTTGCTCGAAGTCCATGTTTACACCCCATGTGTCGGGATCCCAAGCTAACGCCCAATTGAAATGCAAACAACTGAGTAGTTCCATGCTTACATTTAGCCAAAAACAGGCCCCACCGAGGCCTTGAGTCCTCGCGTCCCAGTGACACTCCTTAATGAGGGCTCGCGCACCAGCAATATGGTTCATACCATGAATTGACGGGAAAGATTTTGAACACATTAATTCGTAGACATTGAGGACGACGGCCGTTGTCGCACATAAGGCAGAGTCCCGATCTGGGTCATGTAGCGCGCTAAGGAGATCCCTGGAAGCTGCATCATGGAAATACGACGCTTTTTCTTCTCCGTAGGAAGGGTTTTTAAGGTATACATGACGGGCACCACATGCCATGAACGCTTTCAAGAGCATTGGCTCTCCTAGTGCATGAAATGGCAGGATATGCGTGAACTAAGAAAGTCAGGAACGACACGATAATCTTAAGAACCGTGAAACTTACATGCTTTACATCGGTCATCGAGTCCATCCATTGACCAACTTCTTCTACAAAGACTTGCATCAGGAAAACATCGTCGGGGTCCTGAAGACAAGGGTAGTTATTAGTCTTTAAATCCCCCTTTCCAGCTGAGTTGAAAGGCGCATATGAAGCGCTCTGATCTTGAAGAGGCCGATATTGGGGATGAGCATGGCTACCAAATGTAGCATTCATACTGGCCGGCTGAGCCCCATGACCTGATACAAATGAGGCGGCGGCATGCGGATTATACGCAGACGGCAGAGGGGGGCTCGTGAAACTGTCCACCTTCAAAGGAGGGTCCGCTACTGGCGGAGGATATCTTTCAAATCCCCCAACATACTCGGAAGCTATGTGTCTAGACTCGTCACGGAACGTCACACGGGATCCTGGAGGGCGAGGAATGTAATGAGGAGGTGCTACCGTCTGTGTGTCGATGAAATTGAGACGGACCCCACGTCTACATATCCGGCCTGATTTCCGGCAATTCTGGCATTGGTGCAAAGCTTCGTCACACTTCAAATGGCGCTCTCGGCAGGTGAGGCAGCCAGTTCGGACGCGCCTGGGCTTCCGTGCGGTGTCTTTTCGTCGGCCGGTATCACTGCCTGGCGTCCGTGAGACGCTCATTGTAGTGCTATTAGGCGTCAGGGCCCCTCCTTCACCGAATGGGCTTTCTCGAGCATTTTCTTCCGTGGCTAGTTTGTCCGGGGTTGCAATGTCTACTTCCAGGCCAGGAGTATCTGCAGTTTGGTCGGTAGCTGCCACCTCTATGGAGACATCCAGATCGGGTGACGGCAAGACATTGCCGTTGAGTGTAGAAACCGAAGCCATATCAACACCCGATGTAATACCCCAAGCTCTTCTTGAGCCACTTTATATCCAGCGCCCGAATATTGTTACGTAAAGCCTCGCGATCAGCCACAGAGACCAGATCCGCAGCGCATCGTGGCTACCTGTAAGATTCCCGGTTGCGTTGAGATCCTGACTGTCGTTTCTGTCGGAGTTACGGATGGCGGCGATGATTGAGAAACGAAATAAATACCACAATGGAAGGGCAAAAGGTAAAAAAGAGTATCTTCGTATATTAATCGGGCCATGAAAAAGCGACGGATCTTCTTCGGTACCTGCAAGGAGATAAAGGTTCTTGTCAGTCTAGTCCAGTCAACGGTGAGCCCCGTAACGAACTACAGGTTGTACCCCATTTAAATAATGCAACACGGAAAAGAACAGCATCAGTCCGTACCCTTACCCAGGCCAATTAATATTCACCAAGCCCACGGAGCGATTGGTTGATGAGAGGGAGTGAACTGAACGACTCCGAAGATTTGCGGGGAGATGATCAAGATTCCTCTAGACTGAAAAGGGACTAGCGCATCTTTCACCGGACTTTATCAAATCACCTTTTTAAGGCCGACAACGTGATTGTTTTTCTATCTGCTCTATATTCAATACATACATTTCATTCTCGTGACTTTCTACAGTTTGTTGCCCATGTTGACATGGACAGCCTTTACTTGACTGTACGCCTCAAGTCCAGCTTCACCTAATTCTCGCCCGATTCCGCTCTGCTTCACACCTCCGAACGGTATCCGAGGATCGCAGTCCTGGCTGCTGTTGATCCAGACCATACCAGACTCAATCTCCGCTGCAACCCGGTGAGCACGCTCAAGATCCTTTGTGAACACAGCCGCACCAAGACCATAGGTGGTATCGTTTGCACGCCGAATGGCTTCTTCCTCCGTCTCAAAAGGCACAATGACAACTACGGGGCCAAAGATCTCCTCCCGATAGATGCGCATCGAGTCCTTAACGTTCGTAAAAACAGTCGGCTTAACATAGTATCCCGACTCTCCATTGCTGTTGGGTGGGTGAGCACCGCCTCCGGAAGCCACGGTCGCGCCCTCCGAAATGCCCACTTGAATGTACTCAAGCACTCTATCATACTGAGCGCGAGTCACCTGGGGTCCTTGGAAGGTGCTCTCATCCCACTGGTCTCCGATCTTAGACGTGGTCTGAATAGCGCCCTTGAACTGCTCAACAAAGGTATCGTAAATGTCCTTCTGGACCAAGATCCGCGACGTAGCAGTGCAGATCTGGCCCTGGTTGGACATGATACCGAAATGGGACCATTTCACGGCCTGCTCCATATCGGTATCATTAAAGACAATCAGGGGCGACTTCCCTCCCGTCTCAAGAGTAATATTCTTCAGGCTGCCCGCAGCCATCTTCATAATCTCTCTCGCGGTAGCAGTGGAGCCCGTGAAAGCCACCTTATCAACCAAGGGGTGCTGCACCAAAGCCGCACCAGCCTCCCGACCGTATCCATTGATAATATTAACAACACCCTTAGGGAAGCCCGCCTCCTTGATCAAGGTTCCCAGGACCAGGATGCTCAAGGGCGTCTGCTCGGCAGCCTTAATCACCACAGTATTACCACACGCCAGAGCAGGCCCCAGCTTCCAGGCTGCCATGGACAGGGGATAGTTCCATGGGATGATCTGACCCACCACACCGATGGGCTGTCTAATAGTGTAGGCGAACTTCTGGGGGGTGGTGTTGATCGTTTGGCCGAATGTCTTGTCGGCCCAGCCACTGTAGTACCGGAAGGTGGTGATGGCTTCCACCAGGTCCTCGCTCAGCGCAACATGGTATGGTTTTCCTAGTAGATCGATCAGTACATATGTATAATCGGAATCGGACTCAGACTCAACTCACCGTTATCCCACGCGTCAATCGTAGCGAAAAGCTCCTTATTCTGCTCTATTAAATCGGCCAACCGACCCATTAACATTCCCCGGTCTGTGGCTGGGAGGAGCTTCCATGAATCATCCTTCAAGGCAGCTTTGGCAGCATTGACTGCTTTATCAACATCCTCGGCCCCGGCTGCATAGACAGAAGCGATTTCACGGGTAGTTCTGTCAGGGGGCGTTAGCTTTGTACGAAGATAATCATAAATAGAGTTCTGATAATTAACTCACGCAGGATCAATAGAGGCAATTGTCTGGCCAGATGTGGACTTCACAAATTCATTGTCGATAAACAAACCCGTGGGTTGTTTATACTGGCGACCGTTTGGCGCTGTGATATCAAGGAAGAGATCGAGATCTGGCATGGCGTGGGTACTGTAGTAATGACTCGTTTAAAGAAATGGAAGAAAATTGCAAAGTGCCAGAGTCGGGTATAATAAAGTCGGAGATATGAGGAAGCTTGAAGAATATTAAGAGAAATAGTCCAGGTCTCTATGTCTAGAGACAGGCAGCTTTATCTACACGAAACGAGAAAACAAGACAGGAGCTACCCCACTCACCACAGCTTTCAATCAACGACCAATGTCATAAGATTCGACCCCGAAATTGCCCCTCCGCGGGGTTCTCTCGGGTGCACATACCTTAAGCAAGTAAGTTGATTTGAGGGGCGAACTTTAGCGTATCCCGATTCCAGCCTTATCGGAGTTCGACATTGACACTTAGGGTTGGATGACTGTTACCCGAAACAGGCAGGTCGTTCCGAAACCGATACTAATCCATCGACCAAACTGGTGATATGCTCATGTCAATCATGGCGCACATGGAGAACTTTACCCCGGATCCATAGATCAAACCCGTCGGAATGATACTTACTTTTAGAATCGTATCCAACAATCAACAACCAACAACCACCCAAGGAAAGCCATTCCGGCACACTCGTAGATATAAGTAATAATAAACCATGCCAGCAACCGACCAAAGAACAGACTATCAGTTTCAAAAGATTCATACCACTTATTCACTGTATTCTAAGAAACCCATTCCAACCACCTAATCAAACCAAGCCACCAAGATGAGCAACCAAGAACTCACGGGCGTTATGGTCGCCTTGATCACCCCCTTCACCGACGACGGCAGCAAGATCGACGAATCCCGTCTGAAGTCCCACATCGACCGACTCCTCCAAGCGGGCGTGCACGGCCTCGTCCCCGGTGGCAGCACGGGTGAATTCACAGTCCTCTCCCTCGCCGAGCGCAAGCAGTTAACTGAGCTCTGTGTTAAATACGCTGCGGGCCGTGTGCCGGTGGTCGCCGGCACCGGCGCCACCTCGACACAGGAGGCCGTCGAACTGGCCAAGCACGCCGCTGAAGTCGGCGCCGCAGCAGTGATGGTCGTTCCACCTTACTACGACCCAGTTAACTACGAACAGCTCACGGAGATGATGAGCGAGATCCACACCGAGTCGAAGCTGCCGATTATGTACTACAACATCCCGTCTGCGAGCGGCTTGACCTTGACGCCGCAGCAGCTTGCTGATCTGTCCAAGGTCGGCGTTAAGTACATGAAGGATACATCCGGCAATGCGCCGGCGTACACAGAGCTGGTCTTTGCTTTGTCGGATAAGATCACCGCGTTCAACGGCTGGGATACCCTTACGTTCTATGGTATGGCGGCTGGAGCGCCTGGCTGTGTTTGGGGCGCTGCGAACGTTATCCCAGAGTTGGCGGTGCAGTTGTGGGACGCTATTGCTGTGAAGGGTGATTTGAAGCGGGGTAGGGAGCTCTGGTCTAAAGCTTACCCTATCTGCAAGTTCTTGGAGTCGCATAACTATGCTGCTGCTGTGAAGACTGGTGTTGAGTTGACTGGCCAACCCACTGGTGGTCTGCGGAAGCCCTTTGCCCTGTTGGCAGACCAGCACAAGGCTGAGTTGGCGTCGTTCATGCAGTCGGCTGGTGTTAAGACTGTTTGAACGGTGGATATTGGGAGGAATATATAAGCATTATTGACTCAATCATGTGAGACGTGACATTCCGGCGTTTTGTGCTTCAGCTTTCTATCTGTGAATATGTATGACAGGAAATGATAAAATATATGGTTCTTTTCCCCTCATGAAAGCATTGGCCAAAGCTTTTTCTGTCTCAATATATCCATCCACGTAGGTAATGGGCCTCCAGCGCGATTGTATCGGAGGTATCCGTCTTGCTCTTTCCACACGGCGGTCATCACATCCTTCGCGACTACAAAGGATGCAAAGCCGCATTGTGCGCCTCCCTTCTCGACCCATCGCAGGAGAGCATCGCGCTTAGATGGTGCCGTGGCTTCACATCCGGCCATGAACGCCGGCCACGCGGTGCCTGGACCAGAAACTTTATGTTGAGCTAGGGCCGTGTCAAAATCCTTCAGAGCCGCTATGACTTCATCGACGTGCGATTGAAGAATTGATGGGTGAACGTTGCGGATGCGGCGGTAGAAAAAGATTACAAGGGCCGTGTTTAATGCTCGGAGCATGTGAGTATGTGGTCGGGCCGGCCCTCCTGACGAGTCGGTATTGCCTCCCTTACTTCTATCTGAGTTAAAAGAGCAAATCATGTTCTCAAGACGGGTGGCTCGTCGTTGTAATGCCTCCCACGCCTCTGAGTTCATAAATCTCTTTGTCCCTCCAGAGGCCACTAGAGTGTCCATGACATTGGCTAACCTGGTCGTTTGTGATACTAAACTTAGCCATGTCTCAGGTATACCGTAGATCTCGCTATAAAGCGTGTCTGCCCAACGGCGTGAGTCTTCCAAGTGGATGTCGTGAAGGGCTACTTCGCGCTCTTTGGGTGCGTCGATATCCAGATCGCTGTCCGACTGGCGCGGCTGCAGGAGTAGAAAGTCATCCAATCGCGCATCCAGCCCGCTTCGACGGCTGTTATCATGCTCCGGCATATCTTCGCGGGGCTGGAAGCAGTGGTTGAGTGCCTCAATAAACGAAGCGGATGGGTTGTAATCGTGAAGCACATAGGTGCTCTCACCTACGATGCGGATCCACGTGTAGATATGATGCAGCACACGCGCTTTCCGGGAGATCTCGCGTTTCGATAAACCACGGAGACGCATGAGGCGCTCGGCATCTATCATATAACACCGTGCATCCTTCTGATGCCCGGAAAGAACCTAGATTTGATAGTCAGCCAGGTGTGAGCGTAGCCAGGGGCCAAAGTGAGAGTCTAACTGCAAAGGCTGCCATTGCGGATATAGCCATTAGCTGGTCCTTGTACTTGGCTTTCTTCGGCCCATTCACCTCTATCTTCAGCGATTGCTGTATATGGTCCTTCGCCTTATGGTACGAATAATGGGTTACTTGCTTCCAGTGCTCTGCAGAGTGTGGCGACTCAATAGTGGCATTCAGGCTCAGATGGTGTGCGGAGCACGCAAGAAGAGAGTAAAAGTTGGTCAGCCTAGCGTGGTTGAGGTTATGACCTCCCATGTATGTAAGATCTCCGAGAGTCAGTACGGCAGTTGGAATATTCAGTAACTTCCATGGTGACTTTTGCCCGACAGGCAAAGTCATCATCTGCCCAATTACATTATCCTGGAAGTGCTTCAGCAGGAAAGGAGCATCCGTCAATATATCGCTCGTGGGGGAGACCAGCTCAATGGGTGTCTGTTGTGGTGTCAGTGCCCTCATTCCCCGTTGTCCTTCGTCTCCTTCGAATGCTGCTAACGTTTGATCTTGTATCTGGTGAGACATATCATCTAATCCACTCCTATAAATGGAGGAATATAGACCATGGGTAAGTTCACCATGATTAAAGTCATCAGATGATACCCCCGAGGTCAGATCAAATCCAAGGCCAAATAGATCAGCCCAGTGAAGGAACTCGTCCGCTCCAAGGAAGGGATCAGTTACAGATGACAACAAGGGGTCAAACTCCGATGCTTCCTCGTAAGGAAGCCTGTTGATGGCCGGGGCGGGGCTTGTCTTCTCCGACTGAGCATTCTGGCGTCCGTTGTTCATATCGGTACAAAGGTCGAACTTAAGAACACTAAAAGGCCCAACTGCGACATCTCCGGTCGATGAGCCTTGTACTTCTTTGGATTTGGTATCAACTTCAGTGAGTAACGCATCCACGGTACCGGAAGCAAGGTCCGCGGCCAGCGCCGTGCTCATGGAAGCTCTTGATTTTTCTGAACAGGCAAATCAGCACACGAGCCTAATGTAATATGAATGCGGGGTATATGATCCCACCTGTATAGAGATGGCGTCTTGTGCCATGACCCCCACTAGTAGCAGATTTGTCTGCACGTCGACTTTCGGAACTTAATTGGCGTTGTTGTTGTGACTGGTGCTTTCCGGACATCCACCGAATCTCCGTGGAATAGCCTTCACAAGACACACCAAATGCACGACACGTCAGGCATGTTGGTCGCATTTGATCGCATTTCACATGACGGCGTCGGCAGGTCTGGCAACCTCCCAGCGTATGAGTCCGGCGCGATTTGCTCTTTCTCGAAGGGGGCATTATCGAAGTTCTATTTAGTTGGGCTATCTTCAAACCAATATAGTAAGTAATCGGTAAGTCACTGTAAGAAAATCAATATAGCTCGAGGGAGTCCATAACAGCCATTTCCCTAAGACGACTGACTGTGCTGATAACTGCTCGGAGTCTCTTTCCTTTTCTGTTTCCCCCGCATTACCGCGAGCCAATAACTTTGCCTTTCTGGTTTGGTGGAGCATTTTCACCGCCTAGTTGACTACCTTTATCGGCGCTCCTTGACACTAAATAAACCAAACAGACCATTCAAGTAAATAATCTAAGTAGCTCGAACCGCTCAATCGGACCAAGTAATCTACATATATCAAGCGAGCAATCTAAGTATTTAAGTAGTTCAAGCAGTTCAAGCAACGTAAGTATTAATCCTAGTAGATTGTACTGCTGGCAGAAAAGTCATGCGGAGTGGCGGTGGCTTGCTGTGCCTAAATCCACTTTTGGCCCGTGGTTTGCCCTAACTCTATAACCTTGGCCAATTAAATCGTACAACGCTTGGGACAAACTAAAATCCCCCAAGAGCCATGGTAGATCACAACTATCAATGAGTTGAATTGGTGTGAGGCTTTCAAGGCACATCGATTCACTCAAACAACAATCTCCGTAGCTGGCTGAAATCGGGATCGATAGGGCAGGTCAGTCACTCCCTGGGCATCAGTGACCTTTCTTAAATCGTAGATAGATGATACAAACACAGATCCAGCTCTGGTATGCCCCAGTATTGATCAGATTGACGGACCAATTAAACACGGTTGCTCCTTTGGAGGATACATTGAGATACTAAGACAGATGGCTGTGCTGCACGTGACGGCATTGTAAGGAAACCCAGATTTAGTGCATTTCATCAGAAAACGGGGTGCACTGCCTATCAAGGCCGTCGAGTAGAGGGCACGCGTTGACATGTAAAAGTAAGAATTGCCGGCGGACAACGCGGAGAGTAATATAACTGTGTTTATGACCGAGTCTAAGCCCACTATACCTGCGTTTCGGGCTGCAATAGACCATAGAGAGGCTCCTGCGCCAGACCCACCTCTGAGTAGCTTGGGATCATCGCTCGGGAGGATCGGGCTGATGGCAAAAGCTCCGATAATGTAGAAAAGCACGAGTTGGTAGAAGTACCGTTTTCCTGCGGTTGGTAGGTTGCGTCGGGGGGACTGCATATCTCCCCCAGTGACGATAAGAAGTTCTGGGGTGAAGCCGAATGCATACACTGAAAAGCAGATGGTAGCCACAAAGGCACTCAGGCGGCTAGCATGACCGGTAACCAGATACTCGTTGATAGGACCAGGGTGCTTCCAAGAATCAAACCCAAGCAGGTAGGTACGAGGACATTTACCGGGCCTCCCATGTTGAGACTCTGTCCAGAGCCGACACAAAGGCGAATTCCAATCGTGCCTCCTAGGGCAAGCATTTGAGCGTGGCGAGACTTGAGTCCTCTCTTAGTCGTCATACCCTCGGCGGCAATTGGAAACAGCTCTCCCTCTATGGAGGCTACCCTCGCGAGGTCTCGCTGATTCTCAGGGTCTGTATGCTTCATCTTTTCATCTTTTGCGAGTTATCAATATAGCAGATTAATAGCTATATCAAGGCAGATACAGGACAAATAATGAGAGAAGACTACAGCAAAAGCCGTTGGGTTTCTGGGGAATATATATGCCCTAGAGGTCCGGTATCAGTAAGCAATCAGAAGCATGAACCCGAGCCCACTAATCCAGACTCTTGGCTTTGTCATATCATGAAGAGCAGGGGAGGCCTAATCTCCAGCCTATCTTATCGAGGAGATCAGAATCATATCCGGAGTAACCTTCCCTGGGATAGCACAGGCGTGACCATTGTTACTGTAGCTTTGGTCCCTTATCTGTGGATGAAGCCAAGCAGTAGGCATAGTGCTGCGACTTATACTAGCAGGGATTTTATTTGTAAAGCAGCGCTTGAATTGAAGGAAGGTAAGAAGTCAAGTTTAGTTCCAGAATTGCGTAGATTACTCTCCACAGCTTGATAAGCTGATTATACCAGTTTATTTGACCTAAGGCTCCATTCCGTCAATCCACGTCCACAGTCCTAGCGACTAGTATTTAGCACTGGACGGTTTAAACTGCATGCTAGCTCCATCGTGGATATCCTTGTTAGAGTACCTGCACAATATTATTCGCCATCGTGCCAAAACGCACTCCCATTTCCGAACGAGGATATAGCATACTCCCTCGCGAAGGACGGAGGGTTATCATCCACCATCAGCTAGGTTACTACCACGAGCAACCACGTTTCTACACTTATTTTAATGCCAAGCATGCCCAGAAGAAAGTTATTTTTGTTCGTCATCTGGGACTATGACCTACCAACGTGTATCATTTGGTATATATGGATGACTGTTTTGTGGAAGCTTCAATGTCTCCATCGCAATAATCATTTATGAGTGGGAGGCAGGCAGCAGTCAGGACATTGCGGTGCACTGGTGCTTTGCCCAGTGAGGGAGGGTCAAAAAGTATGCGAGCATAAGCATATATCTAACGGAGATATTTCTAAAAATAGAAATAGAATAATAGATTCCTTATGAGGACAGAATATGCAACGGGAGTAAGGAGAAAAAGAAGTTACAAGTGCGTTCAATAGTATTGAAAAAGATAAGAAAGGATAATTCTTATGGTGTTGGAAGGCCAGAGGCAGTAACTAAACGCAGCCAATCTGCGTCATCAACCATCCTTTAACTGAAAGTCAACGGTCTAGATACAAAGTCGGTCCTTAAAGTCTAGTTATACCCATCGATTGCAGAGTTATAAAAAATAGCACAATGCATGTCCTTGGGGTAGATCCAGCCACTGAACTGTTCATACTATTACAGAATTCGAAGGATTTACGTAACTGTGTTTACTTCTAATCTTGGGGTAGAAAAGCAATGTAAGGGTTTGCACATTATCCTGGGTTTCATATCACATATACACAACAGCCTTATTTCTGACAAGGCCGTTGAAGAAAGTCACCTATACAGACAAAAGACCGAGGCTAGCCGCCTCAGCACGAACTGTATCAGCAATCTCATCCTGCAACGACTTCCCAGTAGGAGTCCATCCCAGCACCTTGCGAGCGCGCTGAGCACGCTCCTGCCCATTGGTTCCCCAAAGCACACTACCATGGCCAGACAGGGCATTCGCCTCAGAGTCACTGATCTCCTTCACAGATGTCGAGCTCAGTCCCAGCTTAGCAGCCTCTTCAGCCACCAGACGGCCAATCTCTGCAAAGTTCTAGATCCCTAGTTAGAATCTCACTCGGTAGAAGAAAAACCGTGAAACTTACAATAGCTCCATTCTCCGCAAAATAAATCCCGTTCTCATTCCAGAAGGGACCCTCCTCCCCGGCAACGGCCTTCTCTACCAACGTCACGAAGATCTGACTGATATCGGTAATATGGACGTTACTCCAGGTACTAAGACCGCGGCCGACCTGGTAGCCGGTTTTGTTTTGAAGGGTGATGCGCGAGAGTTCGGGGATCTGAACACTTCGCTGCTTGACGGGACCTCTGCCGCGGCCGTAGATGATTGGGGGATAGACAACGGCTGTCTTTGGTGAAAGCGGGGTTTCGGGCAGGTTGAGGATGAAGTGATCGATGAGACGCTTGGCTGCGTATTTGTGGATCAGGGCCTTGACATCTTGTTCGCCATCGATGTCGCTGTAGATCTTGTCGGAGGGCTCTCCGTAAACGCCCTTTTCGATGTCAGGTGCGGAGAGGAGAGTAGCACCGGATACTTGAATCCAGTAACCTAATGAATGACTTGGTCAGAATCACGAACCCCCGCCTTCCATGTCCACATTGTTATAGTTGACTCACCAGGCTTCGTACGCTTGGAATTAGTCAGTCCTCGGAAGACCGCCTCGGCACCTTTGTTGTTCTGCGCGCTGGCCGCATCTGCAAGATATCACAGTGATTAACAACTAGAAGCTTCAAGTAGTAATAGTAAAAACTCACTAACTACCACATCTGCGCTTTGCGCCTCTTCTTCAACTGCAGCTGAATCAAGCTCTCCCTGCACGACGCGGACTTTAGGGTAGGCCTGGGAGATCTTCACGCCCTTGTCGGCGTCTCGAACAAGGACCGTAATTTCGTACTCAGGGTGCCTTTTGTGCAGGCTGTACAGAACATCCCCGCCGATGTAGCCCGATGCGCCAGTTCTAAAGCACGGTTAGTCCAAAGTCACTATATCTTTCACATCCGTATATGTCTAGTTACGGCGACGGGTAGCATACAGGAAGATCCGAGTCATGATGCTATACTCAACAATCAAGTGCTGTGAAGTAAAAAGACGAAACAAGCTGTTGACAAGCTACCTTAATTGAATACACAATGTGAAATTAAGGAAACAAAGAGGGGCACCCCTCCTGGATCCCCTCATCACCTCATCAAATAGAGCTGGAAACTAAACGGGCAAGTGATTCCGCGGAAAAGGATCAGCGTGATAGCGATTTGGATCTCCGTCCGCCCCACTCTTCCCAAATAGGACAGTGATTGCTATATTCAGAATTTCAGGACCTGCTGCCGGTTCACGTCTAATCAGTACTGGATTGAGGGCCTCCTGATTCGTCTATACTGAGATGTATGACCCCGAGATGGTCTGTCTGGGAAAGTTTGATCGAGAGAGTTCGCGTCTAGTGCTGTGGTCTGACCGCAAGAATGTAGCAGCTTCCACGAACTATATATTCTAAATTTCCAAAGCTCCCGTCAGCTGTAGAACTAAGTTTTATATACCCCAGATTTTATTCTTGCCTTCCCTCATCGCCTAAAGATTCACATTGGAAAGTGACAAAATGGCGCACCGCGGAGAGACATTACACAAGGATATTTCCTGCATCGCAGACCTAAAAGCTGAAGGAAGCAAAAAGCTTCCGCGGATGGTCAGAGGTGTGTTTGATCTCTGTCTTGCCAGCCATGACACAAGCTCATAGGTCTACTACACAGACTACTACAATGAAGGAGCCATGGACCTGATCACGTATGTCAATGGCTATATATCAACCTCCAAACACTGAATAGATCTCGACATTACTAACCACACCACGTCCCAACCACCAGACTCCGTGAGAACGAAGCAGCCTTCGATCGCTACAAAATCCGTCCCCGAATCCTAATCAACGTCGACCAAATCGACACATCAACAGAGATCTTCGGCACAAAAGTACGTCCCCATTGAACACCAACAACCCCCCCTAACCTCTCCCAAAAACTAACAGAATAAACCCAAGGTTGCCTTCCCTCTAGGCTTCAGTCCCGCGGCATCCCAGAAACTGGCCCATCCAGATGGAGAAGTAGCAGCCTCGCGTGCAGCTGCAAAATACAATGTATGCATGGGTCTATCATCGTATTCGAACTACTCGCTTGAAGACGTGGCCGCGCAGGGCTGTGGAAACCCTTATGCCATGCAGATGTGTGTGTTGAAGGATCGCTCGCTTACACTTCAATTGTTGGAGCGTGCTGAAAGTGCGTTGTTGCGTTCTACATCCATCCTATCTATCAAGTGATGAATACTTATGTTGAGACTTAGAGGCGGGATACAAGGCCCTATTCCTCTCAGTTGATGTACCTTTGCTGGGAAAGCGGTTGAACGAGTACCGTAACAATTACACTCTCCCAGAGGATATGTCATGGCCCAATATCCTCAGTCATGGACTGGATACATCTAATCGAACTGACTATGGTAAGTTTCTCAATTAACCCTACCGATTTTGATCTATGAACAAGTCACTGACTACGCCCCAAAAAGACCCAAGCCTCGACTGGGAAACTACAATCCCCTGGCTCCGGAAACACACCAAGCTCCAGATCTGGTTGAAAGGAGGTACGAATAGCTTAATTTGCAAGTATAAAACCAACCATATAGCTCACATCACATGCAGTGTACACACCAGAAGACGTCGAACTCGCAATCCAATATGGCGTCGACGGCGTCATCATCTCCAACCACGGCGGTCGCCAGCTCGATGGTGTCCCCGCCACTCTGGATGCGCTGAGGGAGTGTGCGCCGGTCGCACAAGGACGGATCCCGCTCGCTGTTGACGGTGGGATTCGGCGAGGCTCGGATATCTTCAAAGCGTTGGCGCTTGGGGCTTCGCATTGCTTTGTGGGGCGGATTCCTATCTGGGGGCTTGCGGTATGATTACTTATCTTATCATGGGGAATTTGGATCTTTGAAGATGCAAAGGCTGACTTGACTTGTTTTACTAGTGGAATGGGCAAGAGGGTGTTGAATTGGCTATCAAGATTTTGTTGCAGGAGTTCCGGATTACCATGGCGTTGGCTGGGTAAGTTTCAATATGTTTTAGGGTGTGATGGGGAGGAGAACGCTAATCTTGACTAGGTGTCGGTCGGTGAAGGAGATCAGAAAGAGCCACTTGTCGGTGCTCAAATCCGATGGGCTGTTATCGAAGCTATGATTGAGTTGATATTTGATTCTAGTTGATCATGTGGGCAGTATAGTATTTGAAGATAATCTTATATTTTAGCATTCTTAAGCCATGAACTTTTGATTAATTCTATTCCCATACCCATTTTCGGAAACCTAGCAATGCAATGCAACGAAGGAAATCATTCAGTAGAATAGAACTTACTGGACTGACTAGCATTAAATGCTATTCAAGCCTTACTGCCCAATCGGGGCAGTCGAACGCGGAAGTGCATCAGAAGCATGAGCGCACCCCACAGAGCTGCGGAGAAGAAGGTCAGACGGAGCGCTGCCGCATACGCACCCACAACTATACCAGTATTAGCCCAAGCATATAGATTAGGATGTGCGAAGATAGATAGACTTACCTTGTTCTTGGTGGACTGGGTCCAGTTTCACAATAGCCTGGACTGATTTGCGGACGAGAAGGATTATACTTTCCTTTTCGGGTCCTGTAACCATTTCTTCAAGCTGGTATACAAGGGTGTTCTGAAATATCCAACTGCTTGTCGCTACACCCATCACCGAGCCCAGATTTCTCCACAGACCCAAGGTTGTGGTAGCCACGGCCTGCTCATCCGGATCACTGGTGGCGAGAACGGAGACCATCAACGAAGGAAAAGCGAACCCCTGTCCAAAGCTTGCGAGCGAAACACATAACATGGCAACTACATCGGGGGTGCCCATACCAAGGGTGGATGCCGCGAGGCCTCCCAGCAGGAGACAAACATCACCAATGATCACTGTTGGCTTCAGTCGTTTGGTCCATGTGATGATGAAGCCCGTCGAGACGCTCGAAACCGTCACGGCGAGGGTGGACGCTACCAGTCTGAGACCCGAGTCAGTTGGGCTAGCGAGTTTGACTGCCTGGAAATACAACGGAGCGTTGAAGATCATTGTGTTGACAGCAATGGACCCAAAGAAGTTACCAAAAATGAGGTTGGCGCAGGGCTGCTTCGACAGGAGCGATATCGGCATCACGGCCCGCTCCACGGTCCGCTCATATCGTACGAAGATCACAGCTAAGATGAGAGATAGAACCAAAGACGAAATGACCAGGGGGTGAGACCAGCTGAGCACATTACCGCCCAAATTTAGACCCATAATCAACGAGGTCACACCGACAACCAAGATGAACGACCCCACCAGGTCAATGTTCTTGAGCAGCTGCAAGAAAGTCATCCGTTCCGTCTTCGCCCTCTTCAGGCCCAAATCGGCTGGGGTGGTCCAGGCTGCCACGAGGAAATAAACAAAAATGAAGGGCAGCTGCACGAAGAACGCACCTCTCCACCCTACGTGGTCACAGAGAAACCCGCCAAATGCCAATCCCAGGCAGCCTCCCACGCCCAGACACAGATTGATATAGGACTGGTAGACTCCACGATATTCGATGCGAACCAAATCGCTCGACAAAATCATACCCATGGAGAAGACACCCCCGGCTCCAAGTCCGCAGAAGGCTCGGGCCGCGATGAAGCTCCCGATACTCTGGGCCATGCCACACCACGCGGTGGTGAGGAAGAAGACGGCAATAGCGAAAAGATATACCGGCTTCCTGCCAAAAGTGTCGGATACGCGACCGAACAAGGGAAGGAAAGCGGTTGAGGTCAGAAGGAAAGCTGTTGACAGCCACGATGCAGAGTTTGAGGCATGGAAATGGGACGTTATGACGGGGTGACTTGACGCCATTAAAGTCGAGTCGAAGAATCCAATGATGTATCCCATTTGGACCCCGCCGAAGATTAGCCAGAACCTCGTCGGGGAGACATTGATAAATCGAGAGGCATAACCGGTGGATTCACTCGGAGACTTGCCTTCGGGATCTACCGCTGCTTTCTTGGAGGCTGTCCCAGCCGAAGGGATCCTTTCGAGATTCGGTTCGATTTCCAGTCCCTGGTTTATGGAAGTGACTCTAGAGAGGGTGATCACAGGCTCCTCATCATCGGAAGTGTATGGTGTGGATGAATCACCCGTCTCTAGAGCGTTGTTGCTATGCTCACCGGAGTAATTTATATGAGATTGTTCATGATTGAGGAGAGGAGTTGACTCATTGACGCCAACATGTGATGATTGCGGGTTTTCATGCATCCCTCGAGGAAAGTGGTGGAGGTGAGAAATTGTACTCGTTAAGAAGGGAAACCTTTTTTTTCTTCTTTTTCAAATTCGTTTGCACAGTAATAAAATGACCCTTGGAAATCTTTTCAGACTTTAGAGTTAAAAGTATAAAATCGTCTCAAGGATAAAGTCACTCGTGGGCTGCTACAGTCTAGTTAAATAAGAGGAAATCTTGGTCGCATTAGGCTTTCCAGTCCAGAAATTTTTATAGTCGAGGCAGTACGATGGGAAAGACGCTAATGCAGTGAGTTGGAGTCAGTGTTGTGACTCGAGCCAACCCTGTTCCAGTGGGGTTCCTTCGGTTCTCCACTCGGCTGCGGAAAGACGGAATGATTGAATTTCTCTCTCCATTGACTCCCTCATTGCACGTTATAAGGTTCAAATGTTTGAGTCACCTCCGAAATGTATGCTGAGGGTCGGTAATCCCATATCCTCCATATAGAAGAAGAGGGGGCAGCAGTAGCAGCAGAAGAAAAAAGAAAAAAGAAAATAAAAATAAAGACGGCCGAGGCTAATGAAAATGCCGCATGCATGTCGCTGCACTGATGGTATTTCACCCCCTCATTTCGCACTGATAAGTACGGCCTGTTCATAAATCTATGACCCACTTTGTCTTTCTTACCTTACATTGACTGTCTTAGTCTCTTTTCTTCTTTTCCGCTGCGGCCTGTCTATGGTCAGATTGGGACCTGATGACCAAAATGCCCCCGGAATTGTGTCATCCGCACCAAGTGTTCATGCATCCATACGAAGTATATTGCCGCTTTCCCACTGGTTGACTTCCCGGTGTAGCCCCATCGAGTCCTCAAAGGCGCAGCGCTAGGGCTGTCTTTTCCGACTTGCCGCTTTCTCAAGACAAGTACAACATTTGGCGATACAAAGGGTAAGATAGATAGACAGGGGATTCCCTTGGCGTCTATTATTAAGGAGGCCCTAATCTGCTGTCGTATGAATTACGTTCGAAGTCGGCCGCACCACAGTTTGAAAGACAGCTGGGACTAGGGCTTATTTCGACACTGCGGGAATTGAGATCGGATTAGAGTCCGGCATCCCATGTGTTCGGATAGTACTCCGGAAACGCACAGACTTCGCGATGATTGTCCAATAGACCAAGTATTTAGCATTCCGATGTCCCGGGGAAAAAAAAGCAAAGGCTGCAGGGAGGAGCAGGATCACAATACCAGAACCCTATAAGAAATACCCTGGCAGTCATCTTGAACTCGTAAGATTTGCCTGATCGAAAGGGCGGTGGGACCCAGGCGTACCTTTGATCTGATAAGAAAATGACTCAACTACATACACTTTCCCATATACTCCTCCAAAACTCGTTTATCGCGTAGGAGCTGCAACCCATTGGCTTTAGGAATTTCTTGATACTACCTTGATCTATCTTCAGACATCACTCCTTACCCTGTGATCTCACCCTCGCCACCACAATGCGCCCCCCACTCCGGATTGCCATTCTTGAATGCGACACTCCAGTAGAAAGCGTGGACAAAAGGTACGATGGCTACTTCGGGTTATTCGCTCAACTTTTCCGCGAATGCGCCACGTCCCTGGGATTGGATCCCGAAACCAGCCTTGATATTACTCGATGGGACGTTGTCCATGCGCAAGAATACCCCAAGTTGGAGGATATAGATGCGATCGTGCAGACAGGATCCAGTGAGTTCCCCTTAGTGTACCAGATCACTGGACCTATACATATGCCGCTTTATACACCTGATAACGTAACCTCCATTCCGCATTGTGCTAACTCGTCGTATCTTAGAACATGACTCCTTCGAAAACGACCCCTGGATCCTTAAACTAGTCGAATACACTAAGAAAGCCCTTGAAGACCACCGTGTAAAAGTCGTCGGCATCTGCTTCGGACACCAGATCATCGGCCGCGCACTCGGCGTCGAAGTCGGCCGCGGCGATGCCGGCTGGGAGCTTGCCGTCTGCGACATGGACCTGACAGACCAAGGGAAGAAACTCTTCGGAAAGGACAGAGTGGTATGCAGTGCACCCTTATGACTATTCGCCTTTATAATCCGCCTCAAACATTCAACCCATACAACTACCACCTTTTCCATGCACCCAATATCTTTCCTACCTCCCATTCTAACAATGTGACATCATAGCGCATCCACCAAATGCACCGAGACATCGTCGTCAGCTGTCCCACGAACGTGATTCCACTCGGTTCCTCATCCAACTGCGCTGTCCAGGGCATGTTGCTGCCGGGTAAATTTATCACAGTCCAGGGTCATCCAGAATACAACGGGTTCATCGTTAGCGAGATCGTCAACACACGGACCCGAACAGGCGTTTTCCCGAAAGAGCAGAGTGATGATGCATTGGCGAGGGTGGACCTGGCGCATGATGGGTTCGATATTTTGGTCGTTTTTTTGCGGTTCTTGCTTGGGGAGGTTGAGTAGATACCCGTCTGCTGGAATCAACTGCTGGGCGGCTGGACTTTGGCATAGGTTCCTTTCCACCTAGACTTCTCTATAGAGATGAAATATAGACAAGGTGAATGAATGTAAATATATTCTGGGCACCTGCATTCTATTCTTTAATAAAAAGAGATCCTGGACCTTGATTGGCGACAATAAAGCACGCCAATAGCCCAACGCAATGCAATCAAGCTAGACACTACCCACAAGCATAACCCATGCAAGTAAACGTACCGCAAATCAGGTATAAAACAGATAGTGACACGAACAACGCCCCAATTAATCCCTAGCGAAAACAAACCCAACCCAAGACAAAACTCCCCTAATCGAAAGAAATGAAACATTCATCACCCACTAGCACTCGGATCCTCCCTCTCTAAAAATGACGGATCCATCTCAACCTTCCTCTCAAACTTAGACCACCAATCCCGAAAAGCCTTCAACGGCACCGCATCCTGATCACTTGAGGCAAAGCTCGCCAGGAAGTTAAACGCATTCCCGATAATCCGCTGCGCGAGCACCTTCGTCGTAATCTGTCTCGTCTGCCGGACTAGCTGGCCCGAGGTGCCCTTTTCTGCCTCGAGGGCTTCGAGCTGCGGTGCGACGGTTGCGATGGGTTCGAGTGAGATGCCTAATGTTGCTGTCATACCCGGTTGGAGGTTTGGGGGTGGGGATGTGGGGAGGATGGAGGAGGGCTTTTCGTTGGCGAGGGCGCCGATGAAGCGGAAGCCGTTGGGGTCGGAGGGGAATTGGATGTAGATTGCGGCGGCTGTGTCTGGGGGTAGGACGGTGCCGGGGAGGAGGAAGACGACAATGTCGGAGAGGTCTGGGGTGAGGGGGATTGTGAAGGCGAATTTGGTAGATTGGCCGTTGGGTTGGGGGTCGACTGGGACGATGTCTGTGAGGCAGGGTCTGCCTGGGATTATGACGGAGAACATCGCGGCGGAGGAAGAGTAAGTAGTTTAGTAGTTAAAACAATACAATGCGATAAACAAATGCAAGTGGGGGTATCTTGTTAATTAGAAGTCAAAGAATGAATGAACGGATGCCGATTAGAATGGTTAATAGTCTGGTTATAGAGGCAATTGGGGGATACAATGCATTGTTAAGCTGTGTAAGAAAGAACGATCGTGGTAGCTACTGGAGCTGGTGAGAATTTCCCTGGGGGTTCCATATGATAGAATCGCAAAGAAAAGCTTGGTGACGAAATCGTCCGCCTGCCCTTATCGATAAGGGTTGTGGACCAGTCTAACCTATTACGGTGGCTGGGTTGACATTATGCTGGTCACTGGTTTTCTCTGACACATTGTATTGCATGTACTGTATGCATGCATAGTTGGCTCTTAATTTACACTAGACGTGGTTGCGTACACAATGGCCAAATCTAACCTGGAACTAGTTGACGAATGCGATAAGTAATCGGTCCCTTCTCTTCTTCTTATTATCATTTACCAACATTCCAGAACAGATTCCCATATTACGAAGACAACCCCGCATTCTATGCAGCCCACCTGAAGAAACACCACGCCTTTAAGGTCAATGGTTGCGATGCGGTATTGGGATACATACTCAACTGGGCCGTGACGAAGTTCCGCTGGCCCGCCGAACACTGGGTGGTGGACCCTACAAGCCAAACTGTCACACTGAACACTGCTGCAGATGCAACCCCAGAACAGCGCAGTAATGTCATGGCTGAGACCCTTGAAGCAGAGGCCAAACGGGGAAACTTTGAGATCCTAAAGGGGTGGCGGAACGAGAAGTACCCCATCTATGCTCCTGGGGGTAAGTTCTTGCTCGAGATGGAACGATGTGCCAGCCCGTTGTTTGGCATTGTGTCGTATGGTGTGCACGCCACTTGTTATGTGGAAGATGAGCAAGGTATGCAGTTCTGGGTGCCCAGGCGCGCAAGGACCAAGCAGACATACCCTAGCATGCTTGATAATTCCGTGGCCGGTGGAATGAGCACCAGCGAACGTCCCTTTGAATGCCTTGTTCGCGAAGCAGAGGAAGAGGCATCCCTGCCTGGGGACGTCGTCAGGGCCACTGCCAAGTCAGTAGGTTGTGTTTCGTATTTCTATGTGCGGGACTCTCGAGCCGGAGGCGAGGTCGATCTGCTACAACCGGAGGTAGAGTATGTCTACGACATCAAGCTTAGCCGTGACATTGTCCCAAAGCCCAGTGACGGCGAAGTGGAAGAATTTAAGCTGTATACCGTTGAAGAAACAAAGACGGCTCTAGCGAACGGGGAGTTCAAGCCCAATTGCGCAGTCGTCTTCATTGATTTCTTCATCAGACATGGCATCTTGACCCCCGAGAATGAACCCGACTATTTCCAGATTCTGACGAGGATGCACCGCCGCTTTGAATTCCCAACAGCCTCGCATTTCGCAAACTGAGCGGCTACCGACCTTGAATTAATTGGTAGATGAGAACACATATTTTGAGAATTGTTTGATATTCTATTGATATACCCAATCGCCAATCAAACGCCGACGCTGCAACCAAACATCCCAATTAATGCAAAATTTTCTGTCAGTCCGAAAGCCAACCCCGGACACAGATACCCATGAATTTTCGATACGAAGTGTTGATGGGATGATATCTTTCCTCGTTTCCTTCATTTCTTCAGAAGTAGATACACATAGTCGATCCTCAAGGGCGCCAGCTTCTTGTAGGGTCCTTCAAGATAGAGTAACAGTCCACCGAAAGAGATGAAAACCGCCCTGTTAGTGGTCTCAATTAGCCAATGGTCCCGGTATTGATCGCGATGCGCATGCGACTAGGTAGATCATGGTACAATAAAAGTCCACTTACATGTTCCCTTGGGTAGTTCCCTCCTCAAAGCGGTAGACCTTTCCATGACAAACATAGTCGTAGTCGTTTGCCAGGGTCTGCTCGCCCATGCCGACTTCTCTCCAGCCCTTCGAGCCAGTGTCCTCCTTGCCGTCCAGGGAAAGGGTCGAAGCGAGAGCCATAGACACTGACTCTCCAGTCGTGCAAGGATAGAGCTCAGTGTTGACATCTAGAGTGAAGGTAGACGTGTGATCAGAGGACGTGCAGGTCAGGCGAGAAACGCGATCGTATTTCTGCTGGTTGACACCAGTGATGGTGAAGGTGTCTTCGAAAAGCAATGGGTCCGACATGGTTGCGACGATGCAGCGACAGAAACAAATAACTCGGCAAATTCGAACAGTATATAATGAGGAATTGCTGAAGTGCCGCAAGTTCACCGAGTTGGGGGAAGTGGTAGAAGGCTCAATTGATGGGACGCGGCCGAAAACTGCAAAAGGAATCGCCGCAGCTTTTTTGCTCGACTTTTTAGCGCACTGCCGCTTTTACTCCACCCGGAAGCTGCCCCGCAGCTATTCCTCAAAAAAAGTATTCAAGAGCAACAACACCTTTACAAGTCAACTACAGCACAAAATGTCTTTTCGCAAAAGAAATATTAGCTTAACAACAGGCGTCGATCGCGCCTCTGCCCTCAATTCTACTGCGCAACCGCAGCAAGCCGCGGCTGCCCCAGAAACAAACCCCGGAATCCGACCCTCTCCCGACGATGGGCGTCCGACTACTTCGACAGGTAGCCGGTCGCTAGACAACCTCCTAGCTGGACACGGCGGGCTTCCCATTGGAAAGACTCTCTTAATTGAAGAGAATGGAACTACGGATTTTGCAGGCGCATTGTTACGGTACTATGCAGCGGAAGGTGTCGTACAGGACCAAAAGGTTCACGTTGTCGGAATGCCCGAGCAATGGGGCAGAAGCCTTCCTGGCTTGATAGGTCCTGCGGATGTTGCAGATGAGAAACCAGCCAAGCGAAAGGGAGAGCGCATGAAGATTGCCTGGAGGTATGAGCGTCTGGGGGAATTCGGGGCCGGGGTCGCTGGGTCAAGAGGTAAGGCATGGGATACTATCTACCATAACTGTGTGAAACACGAATGAGTCTAACAGATGCAGCGCCCGTCGCAACCACAGGAGACCAAGCTTCGCCCGCAGCGAACGGAGATCAGGCTCAGCAGCCAGCATTTTGTCATGCTTTCGACCTCACCAAACGTCTAACCCACCCATCCATCGCGACTATCAACTATATCCCTCTTGCCCGCACAAATGAACCCCTGTTCATCTCAATTTATAAGCGCCTTCAAGCCACCATCGCCCAAAGTCCCCCAAACACGGTCCACCGCATTATCATACCTTCTTTGCTCAACCCCACGCTTTACCCTCCCGAGGCCAGCCAGCCCGAAACCATTCTGCCGTTTCTTCACTCGCTAAAGGCTTTGATGAGCGCACCCTCTGCACGTGTCACAGCTATGATAACAATGCCTCTGTCCCTGTTTCCCCGCTCCTCGGGCCTTGTGCGATGGGTCGAACTTCTGAACGATGGTGTTATCGAGCTTTGTCCTTTCCCGCACTCTGCAGATGCCCTCGCAACCTCAGGTGCTGCGACAGCCGGTGAAGAGCCACCGCAAGGCGTGCTCAAAACCCATCGACTACCTGTGCTACACGAACGGGGCGGAGGTAGTGATCAGAACATTGGACAAGACTGGGCGTTTACACTCAGCAGACGGAAGTTCGAAATTAAGCCTTTCAGTCTACCGCCGGCCGAAGGAGACAAGGAAGCCCAAGAAGGCGCGGGTCCAGGCGGGATGCCAAAAAAGGCGGACCTAGAATTCTAAGCTGACGCTGCTATGTTGAATGAGGGTGAAGGAAGTCCGCAAATCATTCTTCGTGGTCCGAATCTCTCAGCATATTCTCCAGTTCGATTTGTTCAGACATGGCAGGCCCGGAGCCAGCCATTCCTCGGAGATAGTCCCTTCCGTAGCCATCCATGCCCTCTCTGAGTGAGTCCCGCGTGAACCGGGAGCGAAGGCGACTCCCTAAGCAAGACGATAGAGCAAGCCACGCTCCGAGGTGTCAACAATGGAGACTCGCTAGCGATGGGGAAGTCACTTACCTAGGAATAGAAGGAGAGGCGCAAAGAACACCAGAAAGAGGAGTAAAAGGAAATTCATCGCGGCCACAGCTGGTCGTGTTACCAATATGCTAGCATAGGATAGAAGAGTAATAGAGGTTTCTTGTTTGGGCTGATCAGCAGTGCCGCTTCAGGCTTAGCGCAACCATCTATGGCACGTGATGCTGTATTGCTTGTTCCAACGAGCCTTCCCCGATAGTCAGATTGATGCTTTTCAACTTCAGCCGCCATCGGATAGATCCGATGAAGCTATACTCAAATTTCAACAACAAGCTGCAGTGACAGGTGACGGGCCCTATTTTCTAGTCTCTATGACGGAAAATGATGCCTCAGGCATAAGCAGCCCACCTTTCTATGCGACTAACGCGAAGAGGAAAGGCTCCGTCAGGGTTTAGCTTTTAAGAGCTGCTTCTCCCACCAAAATTTACATTTTCTCCCATCTCTTTAAGACACACACAGCCGCCATTGACATAGCTCTGGTTTTGCTGGCCAAATTCCAGAGCATCTCTTCGTCTTGTCATGTACTCTTGTATTTGATGGTAAGTTATTATCTCTACTTTCTTAATATTGCCTGTCTTTGCATGATTATACAAATACTATAATCTGTCAATCCCCTGAAGCTCACTAAAATATCTCATTAATTGAGCATATGTGATTGAGAAATGTATCGAAAATGACTTGCACTCCTTATTTACCATGTTGATCTTGCATGTCTTGTGCGGAGCAATAAGCTAACATCAAGATCTGGTTATAGCAGTGCAATTGATAAACTTGAACATCTTCACACATAAACAAAAATGACTACAGAGCCCACCCTCCCCATCCCGATCTCGTATATCGCGGGTAACTACTATCTCTTCTCTATTGATGCCGTCACGTATTTGAGACGGGAGCATCACATCTGTGGTGTTCTGATTGGCACTCTGCCGCAAATCCCACAACAAAATGTCTTCTTGGGATTGCCGCTGGAGCTGATGCCGGAGGAGGCGAGGCTGCTGGTGGAGAAAGGTGTAGCTTGCATTGTAGACGAGGTAAAAGTTCAGAACCAAGGCATGAAAGCCCTTATGGAGGCAGATCGCCAGAAGTATCTCCGTGAGCTAGAATCCCAAGGCCTCCAAGCTATGCGGCTGCAAGCCAGCCGGAAAGAGCAACAGAGAGAGAAAACGTTAAAGAAATTAGAAGAAAAGAAAGCCAAAGCTGCCAAATCAAAGAACTCCTCTGAGGATCCTGAACCCGCACCTGCTGTCGCTGATGGGTCTAAGGATGACCCAGTGGTGGACCTTTTCACAGACAGTCAACCGTCAAGCCATAGTCAAACCACCTCTCGACGTACTTCGACGACTGTCGCCCCGGATAATGCCATGGGTATCACGCCCGCAACGGCCCGTCCGCCTCTCCCAGCGGAGCCCTCGGCTGAGCAGCTGCTGCCAATGCCTCAGGTTCCCTCGTCTTATCCCTTGTTCGCTCATCTTCATGCCGAGGGTTATTTCCTGTCCCCCGGTCTTCGATTCGGCTGCCAGTACCTTGCCTATCCGGGTGATCCCTTACGATTCCACTCTCATTTCTTGGTTGTCTCAGCCGAATGGGACGAAGAGTTCGATTTGATGGAAATTATCGCCGGAGGTCGATTGGGTACTGGCGTGAAGAAGGGATTTATGATTGGAGGTGCTGAGAAGAAGGAGAACACTGCGGATGAAGAGAGTGTGAGGACTTTCAGCATTGAGTGGGCAGGAATGTGAGATTATTGGCCTGGATTATCAGACTTTGACGGACCAGTCTTATGCCGCACATTGGCGATGCGGACATTCGTTCAGCAGACACGCTGTATGGAACGTGTGCCGCGGCCCTCGACGCTTCCTGGGTAGAAGACGTCCCACCAACGGAAACGCCGCTGTTGATGCTTGACATGCGTAGCCTACGAATACTATGGTTGTCGGTGAACATCCATACTGGCGACCAATGCAAACATACATGTGCTTGGCCAGGGTTAGTGGCATATGCTAACAGCTCGGTCTCGCCATTTGGCCCAGGGCACAGCCCTTTGACGATGCGACTTGCTATCAAGTCGAGGGTCAGGCCTCATCTATGGCTGTCATAAGAGACTCACTATCAAATTGAAATTCGATCATATCCTATGAACTCGAGAAGCAGTTCTTTAGCTTAAATGATACCCATTGAATCACCTCAATAGCATGTGCGTTTGAATACTGGCTAATTGGCCAATCAAAGCCCACGTCCTGTAGCATACGTAAGAAACAAACTCAACATAAGTCTTGGGGAAGTAGATCTGTAGCCGTCGAGACGCAGCATCTCTACATTCCGCAGTATAGTCCGAAGTAGGTTTGATTGATACCAATGGACGGCATGACAGGAGGCCGGAGGCTTGGTCCATGTTTGAGGGCAATGCGCAGCGCCGCCAGGAATCCTCTCCCATATCGACTGGCGCCAGGACTTTCGCGGCTGGCTTCATTCCCTCAGCATCCGCGTTCCATTGCCAGCATGACTGCCGAATAAGTGCCGTCCTTTCGCTATGCCTACCCATCATAGAGTGTCGTCAACATTATAAAATTATAAGCGATAGTACCACACCATCAATCAAAGGTAGTCCACATTGCGCCACTTGAACTTCTTGTTTGCACGATCAACCGGCCGATTCAGAAACTGACTCCCATGAAGCTCAAAAGTAAGCTCCTTCCTAGCACTGGAGCCAGCATCTGCACTTGCATCCTCCGTCACATCCATCTCATCCTGGCTAGGCGCAGATAGCGGCACCCGAAAACGAAAAATCGTCTGTTCCTTCGGCAAAGCTATTGTAAACACCACCAGCGTCAGCCTCACCAACCCTTACGCAAATAAACAATAAAAGAAAAAAAAAATAAAAAAAACTCACTCTTAACCTCATCTCCCTCCGTAACAACCACAAAAGTAAACTTCGTATCCCTAACCACAATGCCTCTAACCCCAACCCTCCCCGCACACCGACTCCTGACAACCTCCATCTCCGCCCCATGGAAATCAGCACTAACCAGCTTACTCCCATGCGACAACGCCGTCACATTAACCTCCTCGGGTTTGCGACTCCCAATATCCAGCACCTCCCTCATATACTCCACCCACATAGCATGCAGACCCTTGAAAATCGCATACTTGCACTCCTCCTTAGGCAGGTCGTAGATCCCAGAGACGCGCTTCTCGCGCGCAGACAAGGGCCGCGGCTTCTGTTTGCGGAGGAAATATTCTTTCTTTTGGAGACGGTGGCGGCGGCGCCGGTCGCGGTTGTCTTCAGGTGTGGGCGATGTTGGGCGTAAATAGAGGGGCTTCTGTTTTATGCGTTCTTTGAAGAGTTGGGATGCTGTGTCGGGCGAGTGCGCGCGCAAGAGGAGGGTTTCGGCGATGTGGGGCTTTGGGGTGGTCATATTGTTTTTCCTTTCCCCTTTCACTTTTTTTTTCTTTTTGTTTCCTTGGAATTGGAGTGCTGGCGCTGAGGGAGGTGAGGTGAGATGTAATGTGGTTGTTGCGAGGTTGGAGAGAAATTGTTCTGTTATCGGGACTTTTTGGTGAGCTGATAAGGTTCAATTAGCACGAGGGTTGCCTTTTTGGGATGTTAGTGGAGTACTCCATACTCCACGACTACGCTCTACTTAGTATATGAATTGGAGTATACATTCGCTCTGTTCGTTTTCCATTTGTGTCTGATGTCTACTGATCTTGCGAATCGCTCATATATTAATTTGTTCGTGGGTTACAAGTATCTCTCTACTTCTGAAACACCCTAGGAATAGTATATATGGCTTGTCAAGGTCAAATGAACACCAAATATGAAGCTCATTGCAGTATGAACACAACCTATATTATACGCATTTAGCATAACTGAGATTCCAAAACTCAAATGAATGATCAAAATCCCACTGGAAATGATCAGTTGTCATATATGTGATTAGTGTGTGGAGTTCTCACATTACTCTTACCCAGTACTCCTAACTGTTGACCTAACTACAAGTTAATATCCTAGACATCTAAAGAATAACCACCAAACACGACATCTCCAAACATAGTCTCCAAACTCAAACTCAAACCTACGACCCCAATGTAACCTCGTAAACCCATCGGCTAGACACCAAACCTCCCAAACTCCCCCAAATCCTCGGCTCTCCTCCTTCCCCGCATTAGGGCTACATCTATATCAACATCAAGACAGCCAACGTAAAACAGCAGGCATCGCCTTCAAAGTCTACCCCAAACACATAGCATACACAAAACAAACCCACCACCAAAATGAAAACTCAAGAGAACTTCCCCGGCCTCCCCCCCTTCCCAGACAACATCCCAACAGCACCCCTAACCCGACTCTCCCTGTCCAAACTCCTCGCCCACGACGAATCAGAAACAGTCCGACTAATGCGCGCATGCTGCGACATTGGCTTCTTCTATCTGGATCTCCAAAACACAGAGCCGGGCACCACCCTCCTCTCCACAGCAGATAAACTATTCCAAACGGGCACCGAGCTATTCAAGCTCCCGCTAGCCGAGAAACAGAAATACGATTTCAGTGCCCAAAACTCCTATCATGGGTATAAAGCCCAGGGGGCAATGATCGCAGATAAAGAGGGGAATGTGGACAGAAACGAATTCTACAATGTAGGGCCCCTCACTCGATAACCTTACCCACTAAGATACGTAACGTATACTAAGATTTATATGATATGTTAAAAGGTTTCAAAAGACACAATCCTAAACCTAACACCATATCCCTTCCCATCCCCAACCCTCCTCTCCACCCCCTCATCCCACAACAATCTGAAGACCTTCATCGAAACCTCCCACTCCATTACCATTCTCATTCTCACCCTCCTAAACAAAACCCTCGGTCTCCCCCCGTCCACCCTCCCAAATCTCCACCATTTACACTCCACAAGCAGCGACCAAGTCCGCTTCATCAGAGCCCCGCCCCAACCACCACAGGACAGCCGCACAGCAATGGGCGAACATACCGACTTCGGCAGCGTGACTGTCCTCTTTAACCGGTTGGGCGGGTTACAGGTTCTTCCTGCAGGTGAAGACGCGGAGTGGACGTATGTTAGGCCGTTGCCGGGCCATGCGATTGTGAATCTGGGGGATGCGTTGGTAAAGTTTACGAATGGGCTGTTGAGGTCGAATATTCATCGGGTTGTGGCGCCGCCCGGGGAGCAGATGGGGTGGACAAGGTATAGTCTTGTTTATTTTGCGAGGCCGGGGGATGAGGTTGTGCTGCGGAGGCTGGAGGGGTCGGATTGTATTCCTCTCCCTCAGGAGGAGGAAGAGGAAGAGATTAGTAGTAAGGAGTGGGTTTTGAGGAGGGCGTTGGGGAGGAGGAGCGGCTTGGAAAGTGCGGATTATGAGAAGTCTGCTGGGACGGAGATGATGAGTCGGAGGATTAGGGTTTGATTTTCTTGTTCTGTTTCTTTTATATGTTGTTTATTTGTCTATTGGTGTACTTTTGGGGCTTGGACTTAGCCGTGGGTTTTCGAAATTTGGCGTATGTTGTGAGGGTGAAATGGTAGGGCTAGGGACAGGGAGAATAGTATACATCGCTTAGGGCTCTATATCTTTATCCAAAGCGTGCACATTATCCCATCCTGGAACAGTCAGGTTGACATAAATATTGTACATATTCTTTCTCATTAGGCCCCTTTTCCTCTTCCAAAGATGATTTCTGCCCAGCATTTCTTCTTCATTCACTCCCCCGGAAAATCAAGTGAGTCTAATTCTCTAATCTAGTCTCCAAACATCATGACCGAAGTATTCGAGGACGTTAGGATAAGATTATAGGGCGTTAATCGCTGACGAGCATTTCGACTCTTTCCCAGACTGCGAAGTATCTCATCTGAAGACTCTCGAAGTGTCTCACCATACATCATTAAAGCCATGCATCCAAGATGATGCAACGGTGACACAGATCCCGTCCACGATGAGAAGACACAAAACTCAACCAGATACACCTGAAGGAGAGAAACTGCGTTCATCGACTATCTGGACAAGAGATATTGCGAACAGGATCGAGTTCCTGAACGAAAGAAGTACTAAGTCTTGTTATTGGGGGGATGAGTGGTACGAAATACGATTGTAGCATTGGGAGTAATTTGATCACAAGTATGGCTGGTCAATGTAAATGGTCGATCAATGCCTTCGGAGTGAATTTATGCTGAGCTATCTGAAGTTATATGATGAGTGGTATAATCAACTTCATTGACTAAAGTATTAGGTCATTGTTTAATTTTTCAGTCTTTGTATGGCATATAGATCCGGGAAATGCGAGGCACGGTTCTCTAGTGTTTCATATGTCTTGCTGTATGTCTTGTCCTGCTAAGAGTTTCTCTATAAGAGAAGGAGCAATAGGTTCCAGTGTCGACTTCTTACTTGTGTTGACTTGTTACTATTTCTTCTATATATTAGACATAGTTGTATTCATTTCTGATACTTGGTTGACTTACATCAGAAGCCTAGCCAAAATTATTGACCTCAAGGTAAAGGACTGCTGGGGCTATTACTAACTCTCATGACTGAGAGTTCATAGAGATTCATCTGTGCCCAGCTTCAATACTGTCCTGTAAGTGATATGTTAATCAGAGGTCACGGTGAAAACCTCTTTAGATTTTATTCATTTCAATAGTCAGACATATTTTATCACTATAGGCTACAGTTGTGGTGGTTCTGGCTTTTTGACTCTATTTTACCCTCATCCTCATTTCCGATATTCTGTGACTCAGAAAGTATACAATCTAGACTTTTGGGGCAGATATAGATCAGTAATCCCCAAGCCATGTAACACATTGTACTTTTGTGTTGTTGTTGCCCCCGACAAGTGTGATACCCTGAAGCTACGAACCATTCACAGATCTATACTTATATCCACTCCTGGCCCAACACAACAGTAACTGTCTCGTGTCTGTGTTAGCCTCTCGATAGGCATGGCATATCGATATATCCTCTGCTTCTCTAGTCAAAATGGCATCTCAACATCTCCCAACGGCAGCTACAACAAAGACACAGCAGTTACGGACTTGTTTCAGCATCATCTCACCAAAAAGAACATTGCCCAAGTATGGTGTCTTCAAGTGTTGGGCCTACCTGGCTATCTCTGCCTTCATTTTCATGGAGTTTCTATAAGCGCTGGCCGATGTGCTCATGGAAGACCAATTCGATATTCAACACCAACTCTGATGAGTCTCAATCCAGCATGGATAACCAGAAGCTTCAAGGGACTCTGTCCGACGGCTCTATCTCGCCTCTTACCCCGTGGAGTAGTCCTCTGAGTAGCCTCTCTTCTATGACATTTAGTCCATCGACGTCGCAACTGCCGTTCCAGGAACCGGAAAGCCCAACTCAGGAAGATGGTAACAGCTAAGCTAGTCCTTTCAACTTATGTACGCTCTGAACTGACAACATATAAGATATCAGATCACGCTCGACCGTATCGTGTGAGAACTATGTGCAGGCATGTCGTTTGGAGCTTCCTTTTAGGGGCAACAGCCCTCCCAGTCCTTGCGTGGCCAAGTCCGCGTTGGATATATTGCAAAGCATTGAAAGCAAGAATAACAACTTCTTCACCGCCATAAAGGACGTCGTGCTTCCACTTCTAGGTGACAAAGAGCAATTCTATCAAAACAAGGAGGCATCATTTGCCAGTGTGCGACCATACGAATCATTGGATCCACAGCCTATAGGGTAAGTTCGGTGTCTCGATATTCTCCAGTTTGGCAGCGGACTGACAATGCAACCTAGGCTCCAATCCAAACTGAAACCATACCAGCTTCGAGGGTTGTCGTTTCTAGTGTATCTCCGAAACAACGGCATTGGTGGGATCCTAGCAGATGAAATGGGTCTAGGAAAGACTATCCAAACGCTTGCTCTCTTCCAGTACATCAAAAACCACGACAACACTATGCGACTTGATGAGCCTGGTCCGTTCTTAATTGTCTGTCCATTCAGTGTGATGGAAACTTGGCTTTCAGAGATTAACAAGTGGACACCGGAGCTCACTTTCATCAAGTTTCACGGAACACCAAGCAAAAAGGAGGCAGTCAAGAAGATTCTGACTCCTGCTCGAGTTAAAAACCGTAGGAGTTCGACATATGCGGTGGACATTGTGATAACATCTTATGAAACTTTGATCTCAGATATCAGATGGTTCCGAAAGCTCGTATGGAATTATGTTGTTCTTGATGAGGGCCATCGCATCAAGAATGATCATTCGCAGAGGGCACAGGCAATTCAACGACTTCGGGCTGAGTACAAACTCGTTCTCACGGGGTAAGAATACATCTTGCAGGTACCGTTTGCTCGAACGACTAACAATTGTCGGCAATCAAGGACCCCAGTGCAAAACAACCTGAGGGAGTTGTGGTCAATATTTCACTGGCTCTACCCAGACGTTTTCATCCCGTGTACATCAGAGCCTTTCAAGGAGGCCTTTTCGCTTGCTGACGGGAAATTCGATCCCAACTTCTTCGAACAAGTTCAGAGATTTCTTGGCCTGATCATGCTACGCAGGGTTAAGGAATCCCCCGAAGTAGGGCTCTCAATTCCTCAGAAAACAGAGACTGTGTTATCAGTACCGCTGTCAGAGTTTCAACGTTCCTTATATTTGAGAATACTTACTGGCATAGAGAATTCCATTCTCGGAGGACACGGCGGCATTTCGTTCGAGAAGAAGCGTCTAATGGCTACCGACCAACAGTCTGAAAAGAGAAAATACAGAATATTGAGCAATGTTTTAATGGAGCTGCGCAAGGTGAGCCATAAAACGTCTCTTGGTCTACCGGTTTAACTAATTTGCAATTCCAGTGTTCAATTCATCCGTACTTGTTGGATGATGCGATCCCGGACCCTTACGAACTTGGAGCACATGTTATCACAAACTCTGGAAAATACATTGTGCTCCTTAAAATGGTTCAGTATTTTGTGCTCGAGAGAGGGAAGAAAATAATTATATTTTCGAACTTCAATCAGGCTTTGAATCTTTGTGAGGATCTCTTGTTGACTATCCAGGAGAACGGCGATCCTGTGAGATATGTTCGTTTAGACGGAAGCACATCTAACGCACGACGAAATCTCTCGATTTACCTCTTCCAGAATGATCCTAGGTACATGGTCTTTCTGATTTCAATAAGGGCTGGTGGCGAAGGTCTCAATTTAGTTAGTTCCTCAACGGTTATCTTCTTGGATGAAGACTGGAACCCACAAGTTATGCGACAGGCTGAAGCGAGAGTCCATCGAATTGGACAGAAACACCCGGTCGAGATCTTCAAGCTCCAGTCCAAAGGCACTGTGGAAGAACAAATCAGCCGTCGTATTGTCAAGAAAGCATATGTTGCCACCAAAGTTATGGAGGATATGACTGCGGCACATGATATGAAAGCGTTCGCAAATATGATTGATTCTCGGGGACTAGCCTACGCAATGGATCCGGAAGACTTGTCCGCATTGGTTCACAGTCGAGCAGTTTTGACGTCTAACCAATTGAGTGCAATGGATTTGAGCTGGTTCAACTGGGAAACGATCCTCAAGGCATGTTCTAGCAACCATTTTACTGAGCTGAACGGGAGAAACACCGGTATCAACGTATACCAAGAAAAGGCGTGGCTCGCGTGCACAGAGCGGGTTAAAACCAATATTTTCGATGGGAAAAAGGTCGACACAAGATTCAGATCATTTTCTATGTATGAATCTCTGCCTAAGGATCTCTGTCGAGCGGATAGACGCATTGGAAAGGAGAGGACGGTTATGATCGACGGATTTTCAGTAGGAAAGGATAGTATCCGACTCGAGACCGTGTCCAGTAACAGAGGATGTTTAAATCTGCCACAGACGAACTCGAAGGAGAAAATGACGCACGAAGCTGTAAGTTGTGATATTCAAAGTCTTCAAGGAGGTCGCAAGGCTAAAGTTGTTCCAGACATGTTTTCTCTGCCGGAAGTTCAACCCTCAAGAGTGCGATTTATGTCCACTGGCATTCCACAAAGAATGTCTCGAGTCGATAGGCAAAATGCGCCGTGGAGGAAAGAGGCTTTTATGCCCCCGTCACTATTGTTCGCAATGCGAGAAAACAAGTAGCAAGGCCGGAGGGCTCTTATACTGCTGTTCAACGTGTACTAGAGCATTCTGTGAGGAGTGCTTGGATTGGTCACAGACGGACTTTGTGGGAGAGAACCCTGCACATGAAGCTTTGGGGTATTTTCCTAAAAGCGTTTTTTACTTAAAATGCGCACAATGCAGTGAACAGCGAAAGCGGCGCCTTGATTTCGGATCCGTTGTGCCGTCCAAGAAAAGAAGATGGTATTGATATACGGACATCATCTACATTGTTCCAGGAAACTGAGCGGTTAGCAAGGATTGTGACAGTAGTTTCATATGCCCAGAAGCAGTTTGTTCATCGGAATTGATGTGGATCATATGAAGGGAGAAACAGAGACAGAGTCGTTGCAGCTAAAGAAGCCCATGGATGTCGTCTCACGGATAGTAACCTGAGTACCTTCCTAATTGGTTATCAACGAGTACGTCTGGTGTCACGTATCTTTTTCAATCCATTACTTGTAACGACTCTGATCGCATTTCCGTACTGGTAATTCCCATCCATATCCCAATGCAAGATATGGAGGGAAAATTCCTACTAGTATGTACATGCCCACAAAAACGTCGAGCTGCATAACGACTGCAACGGTAGACGGCAACAACGTGTATGCGGCGCCACCAGTCGGCAAAAGAGCAAACTGGCAGAATGGTCAACATCAATGAAAGTACCGTATTACAGTACAAAAACGTGTCAGGCTTTACCCATTAGAGCTCCCAGTGCATAACACCCTAGGCGAGCCATCAATGCATGACTTGGTCTCATGTCTAGAAGCAGACAGGGATTCCATGAAGAAAACGGACCAGCGAAGAGAAAATTTTCACCGAAGACCCCACCACTCCCAAACAGGTGGCACATGAATTGCCCCCTCAATAAGTGGATCAATATAGACAGGGAATATAGGTATATAGCTAGGGATGTGTTCCGCGGGAACGATCCTATTTGTTTCCGTTACGCTGGAACTTCACAGCGGGGCCATGCGAAGTTGCCTTCGACAGAGCCTTGTTTGTTGTTCTTCTCCACCGAGTCGGTAAGCAATTTCATCCCAGAGAGCACAGATTCGTCCAACAAGATAGGGGATGAGCAACATGATAGGCCCAATCGACTGATTAATTGAGACGGTCCCAACAGATGAGTGGTGTGCGTGGGGATCTGCACGCATCCAGAGCCTTGGGGAGACGACAACGCCATTTCCAGCAGTTGGCTCGTCTCACTAGACTACAAATGTCCGAGCTAGAAGCTAGGCAGCCATACAGCGTCCTCATTCTTTGGGCTGGTAGGTGGATTGAATATGTGCCTCGTGCGTCGTGTTGGAATTGCATACTGTAGGAAAGTGGACCTGCATCCCACTCCGTTGCTGGGAATGTGTGAACACTATACATGGCTCTTTTCAATCCATGTTACACGGCATGCCCCGACGAGGAAACCCAGGAAGTATTGAATGGATAATTCGCTGGAAGCTCGCGCGTTGCTGACAGAACCGGGCAACCCCGATGCAAGGCTCGCTGGATATTGCTGTCGGTGGTTGCCTTCTCGCCCGATGCATGCCTACTGCGATGTTTCATGAGCATGTACATCTTGTCTGATCCGTTGTGCTAGACAAAAAGAGAGAGTCTATGGAGCCATATAGAAGAGGATCATGGGTAAACTTTGATAACAGAATTAAGTGTTGGTCATGTCAGAATTTACCCGATGGTACCAGGTAATACCATACCCGACCATGATACAATAATACTTCGGTTAGGCCAGTTTCTTCCCAAGGAATCTCGGCGGGTCACGGACCGAACCGCCAAGGGGGCTAGTTAGAAGAGTTCCATGGTACAAGAAAACGGTCAGAAACCTGGACAGAACGAGAATAAGAACCTCATATTTCGAGCTACTATAATAATAATAACACCCTACTAGGATACGTAGGACGACCACAACAGACTAAGAAGACTCCGGAAATCCTCCGAAATTAAACAGCATCATAGGGAATGACTATAACGTCATATTTCTCACCCCTGGCTCTAGGTGATCATCAAAAGTGTGGTATGGGTTGTGTAACATTGTTCAAGATAACAGCTGCGTAATACAGGTGAAATAAGCATAAACGCAGCAAACGTTACACAACCATGAACTGCTGTACGGAGTACACATGGAATACTTGGAGTTTCCGAGTCAATGGTTACGATGACGGAATTATTTTCTTTTCTATCTCTTCTTTTTTGCTTTTTTTTTTTCACTTTCTTCATCTTTTTGTTTCTTCCCCCTTGCTTTTTCTTTTGTCAATATCCAAGTACCACCCGAGTCATGACAGCAGATCCCACCCATAGATCAACAATAAAACAAACCACCATCCCAGAACACACCATATCACCAATATCAATAAAAAACAACCCCATAACTCTCCCACAGTATACCCAATAAAACCAACCCCAAACCAAACCCAACACCGTTAAACCTTAACCCACCCCACAACGCCATTCCACCGGAACCCTCAATCCGACCAGACCGGCCTCACCACAATCAGACGATCTACCACAACGATACCAGAAAGAGCCATAGTCGAAGCGGCCCGAGCACTCTTCGCTTACTCGGGGATTTCCAGAACCAGGATACGGCGGCGGGAGGAGTTACACTAGGTGTATTGCACTGGAGATAAAGTGATTACGTTTCCTATGTTTATACAAGTTGTGACGCTAGCTGGGACGGCGTACGCCGTAGTACGGACGTAGAATGGGTTTCTTTTTTGCATGGGGATCGATCCTTCGTGATGATATTGGGTGGACAAGGAAAACCGAGTCAGTTGAATTGGGCTTGCTTGCTCGAGCTGACTTAAAGTATATGGGTACTCTGTTGAGAAGCTTAATCGTGGATCGCCGATGGTCGGCGTACATTTCGGGGACTCTGGAAATGCTAAATAGGATGTCGGAATTGGGTTCCTGGGTGGTAGTGTCAATTCCTACAAACTTTACGGCTACCAACTTTTGGTTGGGAGGGATAGCTATTCACATAGCAATTAGGTGAGTAAGTATTTAGTCCAGAGAGACAGAGGCTGCTAGCGTTACCTACTTAACAACCTTCATCAGATAAAAGCTTTAATAGCGGGATACAACTAACCAGTAACCCAGTCTAGTTCAACTATAACGTCCTTATCAACCAAGCCCCTTGCCCTTACCAACACCACGCTACTTGACTCTGCAATCTTCCCCTATCTTAGTGGGTGGGATCCCAATTCTTGAGCAACATTGAATAAAAACGGAGATCATACTCCGTAAGTTCCTTGGCACGTCAGTCAGTCAGTCAAAGCGTCGAATCCTAGCTAGTAGCCTAGATCACAACTCATGAGAGAAATCAGATGTGAGCAGAAAAAAAAATAAATAAATAAAAGGGTAATCAGACCTATAATTCGAAACAGTTCCGTGATCCAGGGCGCTGTGTCGCATGTTTTGAGCCCGTCAATCCCCCAAGCAGATCATGTCCATGTAGTCTATAAGCCTATAATACATGCAACTAGTGAACTCATACAAATAGACGCCCCGGGTCCGAGCATCAGCCGACCCGTCAATCTGGGAACTGTCCGAAAGAAGTGCGTGACAGGTGGCAGGGCAGGCAGACAGGCAGACCACCAGCACCTATCCGTCAGTGTCATAGTGCCTCGTTGCCAAGCGGACCCGACAGCTCCAGACGAAGTGGGCGTCGTACATGTCGCGATGGGGATGGAAAAGTGGGAAAAATCCTCGCCCGTCCAGCTGGGCTGCAGGATTCCACGGTGCATCAGACGGATGGCGAGACGGGATTTGGTCGGCGTTTGGATGCGCAGAGAGAGAATTTGGAATATGCTTGTTCTTTGTTTGTGCTTTCTCTTTCTCTTTCTTTTTTCTTTTTTCTTTTATTCTTTGCCTCTTATGTTTGGGAGATGAGTAGGATTGGTGATACATCCCATACCTACTTTTGACTACACACCCTTGATCGCTTAGTATGCTGTCAGCCAGTATAACCATAATCATATAGTAGTTTACCAAGTACTACTCCTTGGTACAGTACAACCATTACATACAGTACCATACATAATCGTCTCTATAAATTACCCACCTGTAGGGCTCGAAAAGTCCATAATACCGGAGTTTTCCCGGTACGACCGAGTTCCACCGACGGAATTAAACAGTCGAATCATGCCATATACCAATACCAAACAAAAGTCCAATCCTTCTATACTAAGTATATACTAAGTATACTAACACAGTACTAAGTGAGTGATGTGACCTTCTTTGACCCCTCAATTTAAATGATCTTTTGACCCAGATCATGTCCGACCGTTATTCCGCGCGGGACCACTAGACTATAGATGGTCTTTCCCCACTTCCTGGCTCTATCTTCCAGCCTGTCTATCGCTTCAATTTAGATAGGTAGCTCTCGGATTAGTTAGTCTCGACTCTCTAGAGCCGCTTTAGGGTTTTTGTTGACAGGTCCAGTGGAGTCTAACGGTTTTCTTGTGAGAGCTCACCGTTGGCTATTGATTATACTCGGGTAAATTCGACCAATAGTAGGTACGTAGAAGTAAGGGAATAACTGTAGGAAACCCGACCGTCTGTGTTTGCCCCCCAGTTCCAGACCATGGGGATAATTTTAGAGCGCTGCGGGACTATCGTTCCGAAACGGTGGGTTCAGTCTTTTTGGCCAGACAATCGTTGACAGATGTGCTTGCCTGCGCCAATCGTTTGGTCTGGGTTTACGCTAGGAGGCGGAGGATTGTTACACAGCTTTTGTCAGTCATCCTCCTCCTCCTCCTCCTCCTCCTCCTCCTCCTCCTACTACTACCGATGGGCAGGGCGAGAGTTAGGTAGTGTTCCAAATGAGGAATTGACACGGAGAGATTCCGTAGGGAGCCTGCTCCACCGTATCAAATGGTATTGTAGTCAGAAAGGAGTGGACACTAGTAGTGTTGCTATAGTGAGAAGAGAAATCATGCCAACACCGCACAGGCGTTTTGAGACCATTTACCCCCACCCCCCAATTGCATTTCTAGCCAGCGCTGATCGTAACCTTTAATCGCTCTTCCACCCGTCTCACTACCTCCGGGTCTGGTTCTGGCTTCTGTTTCTTGGGTCTAAGATAAAGTTAGTAAAAGAACGCATGTCCGTAATAAAGAGGATTCATGTGCAAAGACGTACGGGTCTCGTATGGTTTCCGAGCACTTCTCCTGACCACAATTCAAGCAAGTCTTATCCCCCGACCGGTACATGGTCGAACACTTATGACAGGTGTATCGCACCCGTAGACGTGGTTTCTTCCACGTCCGTGCTGGGGGTTCTGCCGGAGGTTCCACGTCTCCAGGATAACCATCAGGATATTTGTCCAATTTAGCCCTGGAAGTTAGTCAGTAAAATGCCGCTATTATCGGAGCTCCGCGGAAAGGGTTGTCACATACGGTTCTCGAGGACACTTCTTGCACCGGGTATGTTGGCAATTCTCACACTCCGTGACGTCCGGCGCGAATGTCGTACAACAACGGTGGCAAGTGCGACGTATTCTCTGTTTGACTTCTTTGCGTATGACGTCCTGGCCGCCGGTACGGGATGGGAGTGTAAGCGGGGGTTCTTTAGGCTTGCGCGGCGCACCGGCCGGCTCCTTGCCCTTCTGCGAGAGGATAGTCTGGAGGGCAGACTCGTTTTGATGATCATGCGACGACTTATGCGGCGGGTAGCGGGGGCACTTCTTGCAACGGACATGCTGGCAGTTGGTGCAAAGCTTATCGATTCCGAACGTAGTCTGGCAGCGGTGACAGGTGCGGCGAACTCGCATGCGAATCGGCTTTACCACACGTTGAACCTCGGTGTCGGTAGGCGACCTCCATTCTCCGGGTTCCAGAGTCAATCCATACTTGGCGAACAGAGCACGAGCCTTCTCTTCCTGAATAGCGCCCCAATGCTTGAACACGGTCGGTTCGGGACCAGATTTGGCGGTAGTATCCTTCGCTGGAGCGGTAGTTGTCTTAGGGGCAGCAGTAGTTTGCGGACTGTGCTCAAGTTAGTGCGCTCATAAGTTGGGTAATAAGAGAGGGGGGTTTGTCGTACGGCGCGGACTTAGTCGGTGAAGCTTGTCCACTAGTTTCCTGAGTAGTGGATGCAGACTCAGACTTCGAAGATGAGCCTTTCCTCAACACTGTTCTCATTCGTTGGAGGTACTTCGCAAATCCCTCTTGCTTCGCCTCATTGGGTTGTTTCGGGGGCCCTTGGTTGGACATGCTGCTTGGGGGTTTCCCGGATCGATATGTATATAGTGATGCTTTAAATTTGGTACAGTTTCTGGGTGTCGTTAAAATTCGGGGACAACATTGGCAGATAATATTCTCTGTTCGTATCGGTGGTAATTGTATTCGCAATCGATCGTTTGTACTGAATTTGGTTCGCACCGCTCTATCCTTCTATATCCTCCAGGGGCGGCAGAGTTGGCGTTATCCCACCTGTGGGGTGAAGGGGGTAAAGTGAGGAAAAAATAAATCGATAAAAAAAATAAATTTGAATAATAAAGGTGAGGTCGGCTGAATAAAAAAAAAGATATGAGACGATTGACCAGTCGTCTGCGGTATTCAAGCCGGGCACCTGCTGGGAAGGTGATCACCCGTGAAGTCGTGGTGGTTGAAGTTGATCGTTAAGTTTATAGTCGGAGCAAGTCACACAAAAGAGTACCGAACCACAGGACCGGGAGACCCAAGGAGACGGTGAGGTGCAAAACCCAAGGCGCAGGGTCTGCAATGGCAAGGAAGTGGGCTCGCTTGATTGGCCGAATGGCGGTCAGATCCAGTGGTGGACTGGATCAGTCAAATCCGAGGGAGAGGTCGAAGATGGCGGCAAGTTAAGTACCTTAGCTTTCGATGGGGTATGGCGAGCTATATACGTTCGTTGTGAAGGGGCGACCAACATTAGGAAGCCAAATCACCGGGAGAAAAAAGAAATAATATCAGCGCACCAACAGCGGCGGACCGAATGATAAATAGAAGTCGGATAGGCTTTCTGGGGGAACCGGATGAGCGAGAGGGGGGTGGGTACTGCTCCGTATGGGTTTGAGTCTAAAGGGAATGGCCCATGGGTCGCACTTTTTATTTCAATCTTTTTAATTATTATTTTGTTTTTCTCTTTTCTTTCCATATTTTCGACAATTTCTTACAAACTAATAATGGTCAGGATAGGAGATAAAATCATATGAAAATTCATTAAATTATTCCAGAACATCGAAATGGCATTCGCCATTACCTAACTGAATCATTACATACAGTACAAACAATCAGTCAAATTTTGCACCATCTTAGATTCCAATTCTCTTCATGATTCATAATACAAAAGGAAATCCAAAAAACAAAAATAAAAGAGAGAGAGAGAGAGAAAGAAAATGAATAATACTCGATAGACTTAAGGTTCGGCGTTGACACATGGATACATGTACCAAAATACTGACCCGTAAGAATGTAAACAACAGTAACATATAGTAGAAATAATAAAACATAATAATAAAAAAAAGAAAAAGAAAAAGAAAAAAGTCCAAAAAGCTAGGATAATATTTCCACTTTCCGGACTGCCGGTTCAATTGGTTGGCTGATCTAATTCCCTCCGCCAGTCTGGCGCGTAATAGACTAGCGGAGTATGAAGGAATTTTTGTTCAGGTAAGCTGCTGGGGGTTCCGTTGGTATGGCCCACCTGTCTACTAGTATGTATGGAATTTAGCAGGCGAACCAAAGCGACGGAGACATCGTACTAAATCATAGCGCTGTTCCCGCTCGGGAACATTGCCCGAGCCCAGAGTTTGACAGTCAGTCTAAAGGTCCCATTCCTGGACTGCCTGGGCATAGGATATGGCGATCGTGAGACATTGGCGAGGGCCTGAGCTGTTGGAGTTTGGCCGTCTACGGTTACTAAGCCCTCTGCCAATTCAGCATCGTATGTACAGAGCAGACCGAGGCCGTGGCTCTGGATATCGGTAAATACGGCTGTATGAAATACAGTATTTTATTGTCAGCTGGGTCGGCATTATCTTCAAGTATGTACATGCAGTTACTAATATTTGCTTGAAATCTGGATCAATCAGTCCATGGCTGATGCCGTTCATCGTAGCCGGATAGAAAATAAAGTTTGTATGGTAATGATTCTGAGCAAGATGATCCCTCGTATCATGCAATTGTCCCACTGGGAAGGGTCGTGGACGCATATAATACCCTGTCTTATACTTGAATGCTTCTCTTCCGTCCTCCGCGGAGGATATACAGATAGCCGCGGATGATGCAACATTCGAAATCGAGGTGGACAGCACGAATGGTTTCTTCAAAATGCCTCAACGACAAATGATCAAATCATATGGCCATCCTGTCAAAATGAGATCATCATAGTGATATACCCAGTTGCCAATTAGTTAGTAATCTAATCAAGCAAATGATCATAAATTACTACGTTACTACATCCATACCACACATCCTGACGATAATAGTAGACTTACTATTACTACCGGCAATCGACCAGCCGCCGGTCTTTCCCCCCGCATTAGTTCTATTTTATTCAATCATTCAGCCGACCGTGACGAAATTAATTAATAGCCCAACTAACTGCACATCATGATACCTTCCCATCTTCCCCAAATAGGAAATTGTAGTGGACTCCCACCGGAAAGGCCGGGGAGAGAGTCTTCAGATCACTATCATCCACCATAATGATCAACAAACCCCCTAGTATTTAGCTAATCCACGCTTTATTTAGTAACCAAGGACCTGACAGCGTCCATGCTCAGAGTATAATTCAGAAGGGATACACATCCTCCCCTTTCCCCTATTCCACCTCACCTTTATCCCTAGATGCTACGAAAATACACTGAGTATTGCATTGCTACACATGTCCTATGCACCTCCATGTAAAATATATCAAACTCTTCCCCTGAGCACAAGCTATGGCCGCCACAATCG